TAGAAACCACTCTCAAAGCTCATGATTGAAGCATTTTTACTGCCACTAAACATGCCATCAGACATAAAAAAAAAACTACACAAATTGTAAAAACAATATATTCATCACTGTCTAAAGTTAAAATACATTTTACCATCATATTAACAAGAACAATATTGCACTCCCTAAATAAGAATACTTTAATAATTAATAAGTAGATTACTTACCGAGTGATTTGTTGTGAGATACATAAATAATTGACGAAGCGAACATACCAGATAACAAAATCACGGGTTTACCAATTGTTTTGTTACCATATTTACTGTATGGTATTCGTTCCATACCTAACATAAAATGATCTTCAGTTTGGTATTCATACATCTTAAGTGGGTATCCACTAGCTTTGATTTTTTCCCACTTTAAATATAAAAACAACAATAATGGTTTAGTTGTATTTAATTATTACACCATAAAAAATTTCAAAGTTAAGCTAAATTTTTTGGGGTTATATGCACTTATTCTTCAAAATATTTTAAGTAGTATTTTAAAAGAGATTTACTAAGTTCTAAAAATAGCATACTTATTGGCTATTAGCTATATTACATATTATATTAATAGGTTTATCTATGTGTACTTACGGTTTCTTTTGATGACACAAAATATTGTGTGCTACTATATAGAATAGTAATCCAAAAATAAATACTATAAATATTCATATTTTTAATTTTTAAATTAATTCACGAGTTCTTAAAATATAAAAATACAAAATAATTAGTATAGTAATACTTATTTCAATACATTATTATTACTGTATGTTAACGACAATTAAATCAATTAATTCTATAATGTGATGTGATGTTTAAAGTTTGAGTAAAAATTTATTTAAATTGAGAATTGAAAGAATAAAATCAATTTGTTTCTCTTAAGTATAAATTCTCAATGAAATCTCCAAGGGCATTAGAATAATATTTAATTACAAATTTATTAAGTACCGTGAAGTAATAAAAACACGAGTTTTTCATTAACGATTATTATTATTTTTTTAATATTACAAACTTGGCGAGTTTATTTCATTATGTTATACATTATTAAATAATATTAGGACCTATACAATATTTTATGGCCATTAATATAACGTATCAATTTATAAACTGTAGGTAAAAAAAATAAAATATAAACATATTTATAAAAAAAAAATAAAATTGTAATCTTATGAAAACTAACTTTTTCATTAAAAACTAATTGTTAAGTGGTTAAACTTTAAAATTTAATTTATATCCATGTAAAATTTTAAAGTTATGTTATTTAAATTGATAAATTTTAATTGATACAGGTATTAATTTTATGATTTTAAAGTTGAAGTTCAGTAAAAATAAATTAAAAGCTATTTATTTATGAATATTTATGATTGAAAATCTTTATAAAATTATTAAAAGTGAATTGTAAAAAGGTTACCTAGATTATGGCTGAAATTTGAACCAATTAATGTTAAATTCTATTAGAAAATGATAGATTACTTATAATGATACAATTACTATATAAATATTTAAGTTTCAGATTCAAAATAATTATAACTATGTATACAATAATTTGTAATAATTAAAAAAAAAAATTAAAAAGCATATAAATACAAACCTAATAGGTACAATCCACATATTTTTTTCTTTTCTCTTATTAACATATAAATTGATTTTCAATTATTGCTTATTATATAGTTATTAAAATTTAAATTGTAAATTCTGCTAAGGGTAAAAAAATCAATATATTATGCATTATTACTAACCAAAATTAGAATAGTCAATGGTGATAACAAACATAATTTATGACATGGTTACTTTTTTTTTTATGTAAAATAAGTTTTACTCTTAAGAATTCTTTGAACTTATTTTAAAATGTATAATTTGAAGTTTTTTAGGTAATAAATCATATTAGTCATTATTTTATAAAACAATTTTAGTTTTATTTGAAAAAAAAACACTGTCCAAGCGTTGTCTCTACTTCGTAGCTTGAATTAGGAGTTTAATAGGCAAATCATTAGTAACATAAAGAATCTAATACAATTATTTCGAATTAATATTTTTGAATATGATGCAAGATAAGAGGAGCATTACCAAAATGAGAAGGGGCAGTTGACTGTCATAAATAAAGTTTTTAATGCAGATTTATCGCCAAAATGTGCATATTTAAGTTTTATAAAACCTAATTTTAAGTTATATTTTTATCTGTTATCCAAAAATTTTAGTATATTTTATCTTTATTAAAAAATTATTTTTATAGAAACACAATATAAATAATTAAATTATTATTATTATTATTATTATTTGAATATTCATAAAAGCATAACTCTCTATTATTTAAAAAATGTTATGTATATTTTATTTTTCACGTTTATTATTTTTATTAATTTAAATAATATATATTATATTTTAAGATGTAAAAGTGGGCAAAACCACTTATAGGGATATAAGAGTTTTGACTCTCGGGGAGTTGGTGAGCGAGGATTCTAGATACATAATAAATAATACTAAATAATCAATATAAGATATTATACCCTTTAAAAAAATGTAGGTTTTACGTTTAGCACATGACAAATTTATTAAATATTTTAATATTTTTTTTAAATTATACATCATTTTAATTCCACATCGAGAATGATATGTCTTTCTCACTATCCATCTATAACTAATTTACAACAAATCGAAAAAAAATATTTGTAAGAAAAAATATTTCTTCTATTATTAGGTTCAAGAATTAAATAATGAAATAAATAAAAATATTTAGCATTTCTATTTTTAAAAATATTTTAAATTTCATCAAACATCATATGATTGGCATATAAAATTTAATCACAAATAATACGATTACCTATATTTTTTATCATTAATTTTGAAAATTTGTTCTAACTTCTTAATATTTACTTTATATTTATAATAGGTTATATTCATATTTTTCAGTCGTTAATTTTATTATATGTTCATTTAATTAGCGTTCTTAAAAATTATGTAAGTTTATGTTAAAATCATAATTTATTCAATTTTGATCTGTATGATATATTTCTCAAATATTGTTAATCGTAACTAATTAGTATCGTAAGTTATAACTTATAAACATCAAGATAATATTTAGTTATTAAAATAATGTAAAAATATATATTTAAATAATTAAAAATGTTATGAAAACACGGCACGATGTTTCAGTAGGTATTCAAGTATCTTTTACGTGAGAACCGTGGGTTAATATGGTTTCAGTTAGTATTAGTTTTTATTTTATTGTAATTAAGTTTGAAATTTTAATTAAAATACAATTATTTGGTTTTATTTTGGAAATGTTTAAAACACGTAGTTTGAATGTTTCTAAAACTTTGTAATAATGCATAAATAATTATAATATTTTATTATTAATTTGTTGATCTTATAGTAGCCTAATGTTTTTTTTGTTTGAAATAATAGTATGATAATATTATGGTTCATAAACTTCATATAGTAAATATTAAATATATCTCTTCACAAAAATATAGAGCTTAATACTTTGAAAAGTTTATACTTACAGCCTTTACAAATTCAGTTTTACTGACGTATTATTTGACAAATATCCCAGTTGTGGAATCTTTGCTAAATATATTAATATTAGCATATATGCCAAATTAACGGTTTATTAGAGCTCATATCGAGGTATAACAGCAAATATTGAATTTAAATCTTTAGAAATCAAGTATTTGCACTTAAATTATTTATTCAGGTTTTGGTTGCTGAATGCACTTAAACAAACGTATGGTTGTTATTAGCTATAATTATTTGGATAAAAATGGATCGATACGGATGTTTAGTAGTTAGGTTATAATACTAGGCAAGTCATCTTTTTTTCTCTACGACTTACAATAGCATAATTACTTGTTATTGTAAATTACATTATGTATGCCACATTTTACCAAAAATATCGAGTGATAAATTTCATTGGTTTTTGTTGAAAAAAAAATATTGTATATGGGATTATTAATTATTGTTAAATACCATGTGTCACGTAGGTATATATTATTTTAATTCAAATAATTATTCTCTACATCTCACTATTATCTTTTATTAAAATCCTGTTTAGAGTATAGAAAATTTAAAGTCAAACTTGAATCCATATATTTTACTCTCATGAGACCCTTTCTCAGAAACAAACGTAAATATAATACAAATTTTTTTTAGACCCCACCGTTCAATCTAATTTAAATTCACTAAACTAGTAGTTTCTAAACTTTTTTGGTTTAAGCATCTCGAAAAAATAAATATTTATTTTGCCCTCCTTAACGCTTACATCTCCCAAGAAAGGCAAGCCTCACAGTTAACGAACCACTTCACTAAACATTTTATTTTTACATAAATATCTTTTTTAACCAATTTGGACTTCTGTTATATCCATTGGAGTTACACAAAACCCTTGAATATCAGAAAGATATGGTTCTTTCAAGCCAAACATATTCGTATAGGTAGTTGGTAAAGTCCCTTGATTTGGTACCAATAGCTTATTACACAAAGATCCCAAAATTAAATTCACGAAAAATACTACCTCTTTATAATGTGTTAAATTCACAAATGCCATACCAAAATTTAACATTATCTCAAAAAACAATTTCATATTTTATCATTCAGCTTCATACCAAAACATGGTATAGAAATATACTCAGTGCAATTATTCTAAAATTAATCTAACCTATATATAAATATAATTTTCTATTTATATATATATTTCACACTTCAGAATATTTTAAGTGAATAAAAATAAAAATACACAATACAAAACATTATTGGTAAAAAAATGAATATCATTGAGTATAACTGCCAAATTGTTGTTGTAAAATGTAGGTTTACGTAATTATAATGGTTTAAACATTTGTAGTACATATTTTGTACGTACAAATTATTATAAAAGTCTTATAATTAGTAAATAATAAAATTAAAAGTCACCATATGAATATAAATACAAAATTTAATTAAACATTTAAAATTTTAAAATTTTAATACATTTAATTTTTTTTCTAGCAAATGTTTAACAATTAAAAGGTTTACAGATTTAGCATATGGGCTAATAGCGAACCCCATGTGACTGAATTTCTTCACCATTGTGACATTCTTGACATTGGGCAGTTGGTCTACTAACCATTTTACATCCTGAAATACAATACATGTAAATTAAAAAAAAAAAAAATTGTAATAATCATAAATATTTGTACAATTCACAGTTTTATTTAATAAAGTTTATCTAAATAAATTGTATTATTTTCTTCATTGATATTTTCAACAATGTACAGTTTTTAAACTTATGTTATATTTTAATAATGCAATGATAAAATATCAAGTTTCTTAAATATAATTGGACTTTGGCTTAGTACTTATAAATATAAATTTGAAATGATTTTCTCACTAATGGATAATTAAAAAAATTACTGAACCGTTTTCAAAAAAAGTTATATTGATAGATTTCTCGAGAATCACAACGATGACTTTAACTTAATTTTACAACCCCACACAGAAAAGTGTCGAATGGTATAACGGGAAAATGTTATTCTTCGAAGAATTGGGTCGTAAATAATACGATGGATCTAATGCGTATCGTTAATTATTATTGCACGCTTTGTGGTCAATGGGATCAATAGATAAGTATAAACCTGTATTATTATATGTTATACGTGTATAACGAGAGTGTCACAAAAGTAATATTTTATGATTAAAATAAAATGGATGATCAAAAACGAAGATGTGTTGTAAGTTTAATTTATTAAAAAGTAGTATAGCCTACTTATTGTTTGTTAAAAAAAAAAAAAGAAAAAGGTCATGCTATATTATATTGTAAATATAATGTAGATTTGTTCACATTTGTTCATATTTGTTCACACAATGTTCATTTATACGTATTTAATGGTTATTATAGTTTAAAATTATTTAATATTCATACCTTGGGCGGAGCAAAGATATCATGTTTTGATTGATAAATATATGTTGCTGCTGTTATTTTAGATAAATCATAATCGGGTGGAATAGTGGAGTTATAGTGCTTCATATTTCCAATTTTTCCATAGTCATACTTTCGGAAGTAATCTGAAATGTATAAAAATTTGTAATTAAACGAGATATATAATAGTTATATAGTATCATTATTAGGCTTCTGGTATTATTTATCATTTATATAATTAAACACTAATACAGCATAGTTTATTTGTGAATAAGTATTCATCATAGAACTCATGTATGATAAAGCTACCACAAATAACGAAAAGTGAACATACAGCTATACGAGAATTATAGATTTTTATAAAAAATTAAATGTTAAATCTTTAAATTAAAATACAACGAAACGTCGGTTATCTACATAAACTGGGACAAAAAGGGTCGCAGATTATCAAATAATAATTAAAAAAATTCAATAAATAACAATTTAAAAGTTTTAAATAATTAAAACAATTTTGACATTCATACAAGGTGAGTGGTTTTATTTTAGATTTTTATCATCATTTTTTATGATCAATAATTAAAAAAACTTAATTATAAACTGACGTACCTAATAAATAACTGTTAAAATATATGTTTGGAATTATACTAATTGTTTATACTACTATTTATATAATAAACACGAAACAATTAAATATGCATACCTTGGAGTATTAGTTGGTAATAGTGAGTCATAACTTTAACAGATGTTGGCTGAGGATATGTTCTCAAGATTTCAATGGTGCTCTATGAACAAATATTTTTATTTTTATTAGAGGTTAAGTGTAATTAATTTTGATAAATAAGTATTGTGATGATTCCGACATGTATGTTGGAAAGTTATATTTATTCCAAGCACTTCTAAATTCAAATTACAAAAATTATTACTAGACTAAGAATAAAATTATACTATTATATATTATGCGAATAAAATATATTATTATAATTAAGCACATATAAATAATAATTATAAAATTTAGACATATCACTCAATTTTTTTCATCAAAATTTAAAATATTATGAGCTACGTACATAATCTATTGGTAGAAGATTGCCTTGTACTTGAGTCATTATATAAAGACAAAATAGTTTCATGTATTTATTCTCTTTACATTGACGTCCTAGCCATTGGTCGTCTGGATGTTTCATCTTAGGTACATATCCCCTACCTCTCAAAGGTCTCTAATAATTTATAAATAACAGAATATTATTACAATTGTATTAGGTTTTGAATAACATTAGTATGAAATTATAAACATATTTACATATATAAATATTCAAATATAAACTATAAATTTAAAAATAACGTAAAAAAAAATAATAATAATCAAATGATTTCCATGATTTCAAAGTATGAATTTATATTTGTAAAAGATAGATTTTTTCTTTTTAAAATATTATTATTCAAATACTCTAGGCGTCTTCAAATGTAATATTTTTATTTTTTATTATAAAAACTCCTAATACGAATTCTTTATACTAAATACTTATTAGCTACTTACATGAAATAAATAGGGGAATATCTTAAAAATGATAAGCCTTCGGTCGTAGTACTTCATTCTTGCTGTTGGCACTATCAACACTAATTTGTCAATCTTCTCATTATATTCTGGCCTTTCAGCTAGTGTAACTAGGCATATAGTAGCTCCAAAAGAATAACCACCCATGTGTAATGTAGAATATCCAGTTTTGTTTAAGATAAAATCAATACCAGCTGTCGTATCATATATTCCCAATTCATCAAAGCTTGAATATTCAATTATTAATTTTGGTTTTATCATTATGTCGAATTTAGTAAATAAATTATACATTAAATTATTTTATTTATTTTTCTTATGTTTGTAATACTAAAATATAAATGAAAAACTTTTTTTGGACTTAAACTTTTGAGCACGAATTATGAGCTACAAAAAATGGTAAACTTACTAATAGTTTACAGTGTTCTATTAAAATTTTCTTCTCTAATTCAAATTGAGCTTTTTTTTTTAATTTGAGGAATTCCAGATTTTTATATTATAATATATTTTTGAATACTTGATGTGTTGAAAATATAATGCGTGTTTACTCACAGGGTAATTATATAATATATTTAAGTAATCTATATTCTATACTGAGTTATTGCAGATTTATATTATTCACTTTATGCTGTTTATGCAGTGTAAGTTATTAAAAAAAAAAAAAAAAAATAGTTTATCTTACCTAAAATCCCATGATATATTTCTCAATGGAGTTACCAGGCCAGTTTTTGGATTTTTGATATATTTGGAAATGCCAGCAAGGCGAAAGTTGAGAAGCCAAACATCGAAACCAGCATCAGATAATATGAAACCTTTGTTCGATAATATTAAAAATAGTATAAAATTATAGCAATTATTATTATTTTACAATATGTATTTGTATAATATGTTTCAATGTTTTTCTTTTCATTGCATTGATATTTAGTTTGAAAAAATGTATTACTAATTTAAAAAAATAAATTTATATATTTTACTATTTTATTTTATTATATTCTATGAACTAACATAATATTGAATATTATATATTTTATTAGAGTATTGACAAAAAATAAAAAAATAAAATATATATAAACTCTGATTTAGCTTTTTAACCCACTGGTTGGGTGAAATTTTTTTCAAACACGATCGTGAAAATTTAAAGAATTGTATTTATTTTAGTATACCTATACGGCTCTCTATAAATCACATTATTATGAACAACCAGTATAATTTTGGCCTGGATGCAATGCTTATACTTGCAACCTTTTTTCTGATTATACATTCAATTTATTTCACGATAAATCCTAAATTGATGCAATGTTCTTTGATTTTGAGGAAGATTTTTATCGAGTTAATCACGATAATCTAATTAATATTCTAAGTGACTTGAGTATTGAAAATCCTCAATTAACTAATCATAATTATAATTATAGACACGATACTAAATCTATAGTTTATTTATTCCTTCTGGTTTGTCACGAGGTGAACATTCCTCGTCTCTTGTTTTTTTATCTATATTATTGGTATTAATAAAATTTTCAAACATAGCAAGTTTCACACTTTTGCTGAGAATTTAAAAAATGTGCTACGTATTCAAACACTTTGTGCAGGATAATTTTAACTATCCGGTTTTATGGAGTAAAACCACTGGCTCAAATTTAAATGTATCTAAGTTTAAAGTCATTATGTTTTTCAGTTCCAATATCCCGTTGTCTTTAAATACAAAATATTTATTACTAAACTACTTTTGGAAAACAAACACAAAGTGATTTTAATTTTGCTTTCTTCCACACCCTAAATCCATATATCCATTTCGAGTAATTTTTTTTTTAAGTATTGAAAATTTTAGGCTTTCTAAAACGTGTATCAGGTGATCTTAATCTATCAGACTAATTAAAATTATTTTATTAGTCGTTGATAAAATCTATACTAAAATACGGTTCTGAAGGGTGAAACCCACACATATCTTATAACAGTTGTCAATTGGAACGAGGGCAATGCAAATTATTAAATTGTGTAGTTTTTTAAACTAAAGATTAAATACCCACTGCATGTCTATACTCTGGTATATTATGTTATTTCATGAAATTGGGAATCACACCCAAATTATTATTATTAATTTAACAGTTTGATAAATTATTCAAAACCACCTAGAATAATATTTGATAGTTTTTAAAGTTTTAGAAAGGTATTTTATATTTTGTCTAATTTAAATGGATTTAGAATTTAACTATAAATTTTAAATGCATGAAAGTACTTATAAGTTATTCTATGACGGAATAAAATATAGATATACGTATATTTACTTACCAATAGTTAATTCATTTTGTTTTCCAGTTTTCTAATATTATAAATATGATATTTTTACGTACTATAATTAATGTCTTTGTTGTTTTTTTTTTAATGTTTAAAAACATTACATACATCAATGACATTTATATCCAATGATTTTAACGCTGTCAAGCGCAATAACAAATTTTTAATAATTAAATCAATTTATATATTAATAATATGATTTTTCAGTCTTTTGTCTTATATACTAGTTATTATTTATATAACAAAAATTTAATTAAAACACACTTACTGAGAGATATATTGTTAAGTGTGTAATACATTGACGTCCCATACAAGCCATGCAATAGAATTATAGGCTTGCCAATTGTTTTATTTCCGTTTTTACTATATGGTATTCGTTCTAAACCTACCATGTAATGATCTTTAGTTTCAACTTCATATATTTCTACTGGATATCCATTACTTTTAATCTGATCTGCCTTCATATCAAAAATAAAATATATAATGCATAAATATTACAATAAAAAACAAAACTACGAAATGCTGAACATATTTTCAATTTTTACACATTCATAAATTAAGATTCAATCACATGTAAGATACTATTTTTATTTTATAGGTATTCTTAGATAAGAAGAAATAGAAAAAATGAATAAGTACTAAATATCTCAATATGTCTTTCAGACTGTAGATTAGGTTACTTATGTTAAATTCTGCTAATAATGTTTACAAACAAACTAAAGAATATGTTTTTTATTTAATGTTTTCGAAATATAATTGTGGATAATGATTAAATTCTTGAAGATTTATTACTGTAAAAATTAAAAATATTTTTTTTGATTCTAAACTTCTACGTGTACTCAAAATAAAAGAAAAATGTTATTTTTTAATTATTAGAGATTTATAAAGATAATGCAAGAAAATGTTTTGAAAGTCATGTACAAATAGTTAACATTAAATATTCAGATAATAATTTACGATTTAAAGTTAATGGGCAAGCGTGTATGATAATAATATGGTGATACATAGTACAATGTACAGTGTACATATTGTAAATATTGTTTAAGATGTATAAACGATCTTAATATATGATTAATGTTAACTCACCTCCACTGAATAATTAATAATTCTAAACATTTAGTAATACATTTTTGAAATAAATAATTATCTTGGTTTAATTGATTGGATATTGAATTAGTTATTATATATGAATTGTATAAGCTGATAATTTATATGAAATAATTAATATAATTATTAAAGATTAGTTTAAAGAAAATTTATTTTACTTACGGTCGAGAAAGCAGAAACACAATATTGCTGTACACTTATTAAAATACTAAAAGCAAAAGCTTGTACATAAAATGTTCCATGTATGTGCATTGTCGATGTAATATTCAAAATTACAACTTAAGAATTGCAGAAATTCGAGTAGATTATAAATTATTTAATGGAAATATTAAAAGAATATTTTTTAAGTTGATAATTTATTATTAAATTAATGATATAAGAAAATTTACTTTTATTCGAAATAATTGAATACACATTGGTATATTAGATCCTTAAGCTTAAATTACAACTCATCATCTTGGACTGTAAAAAAAAAATAAAATAAATAACAACATTAGTAATGACCACATCACTTAAATGGTGAATATTTATACGCTGCAATCTAGAAAATTCAAGGTAGGCAATGAATAATATTAGATTTAACGATGGTTAAAATAATTATCATATAATAAATCTATCCATGTTAATAAACCATTTTATATTGTTGCTGTGTAAAAAAAATATAATACCAAACATAATCGTTTGTTAATTTCGGTGACATATTGTGTAATATGTACAGATATCGTATATTACAATATGTATTCAATAAAGCCTATATATTAGAAAAATGTTTGAAATATGTATTTATTAGTTATTATACATAATAACCGATCAAATAATTTAAAAAGATACAGTACGTGTGTCTGACAGCCGACCATTACACGTGTGTTACCGTCAGTCGCCTATCGCATTTTGTAGCTTCCGATGCGTAACCAGAACATCACCGCAGTTAAGAAGTATGTTGTCTTGACTTCCCACCACACCCATAATGTAACAATATTCCGCGAGTCCTCGACAACGGATGGATGCTCCGGAACCAACCTCCACTACTGTGCCTTGCCCAACAGACCGATTCAAAAACCTCGAAACCACCGCAAATGTGTCTTTTCCAAAAAGACCAGCAAATAATTCTCAACACAATTCAAGACGTCCCAAATAGAATATATTAAAGCCAGCCAATGCGGCACTAATACAGGGTGCAGTCACGCATTTCGAACTTGTAGGTTCTGCATATATTTTGCGAGTAAAAACGTATCGGGAAAATAATCTAAACAATCTTCATTACAATAAACAACACAACAATACCGTGCTCGCCGTCTTCATCAGCGCAAGCGTAATATCAACGTCAACGTAAACGACGCGCCATTCCGAAGCCGAAGCAACTCTCCCCAAAATGTTATCCAATTACCTTATGAAAGCCAGTTCTCAATGACGAGTTCGGCTCATAGGAGCTTCAGGGTAAATATGTATATACACCCTGAGCATGTGACAAAATTCCGAGTTCCATCTTAGTTCATTTGATCAACTGCAATATCGTGTATCTATCCGACGATACTATGACCTGTTATTCATGCAACAAATGTCCATACTTCGAACCACTGCAAAATGCAACAAAATAAAGCCAACTCGATTCACTTTGATATCCAAACATTGCTCTGAAAACGTCACGGTCCTCCACAGTCAGATAACAAAATACAGACAGCATCTCATCGACAGATATAAACATTGAACAAAATCAGTAAGATAATATTGAATGAACTCACCCCAGGAACCCGCTGTTCAAGGAAAAGGCCCGCACCATCAACTTTCAGTAATGAGCTCCACGATACCTTTACCTCAGCTCTCAGGATAACAGCACCATTCATCATCAGAAACGCGTAATACGTGAACAAGCAGTGTACATTGCAACCAAACTAAAAGAATCCGCCAAAGTCTCACAACTCTCTGCCCAAAATACCTAAACGTTTCATCGATCGAACAAATTATGTCAAACTGGATAGCACTACTACAGCGAAATCGTTTTGAAAATCCATGACAATCGACTTAACCAACTTAAAGGTTAATGACAAGCACACTTACGTAATAACCCATCCGTTGTTCTGACACCTTCAATTTCTTCATGGAAGTGATCGGATCATCGACACGAGTCCGCCCGAAGAATAAATTACTATGTATCAAGAACAGATCACGAGACTAGCCAGCTTGATCGAAACGATTATCTCACCGATTACCGGCCTCCCACAACACAGCAATAATTATTTACAAACATTGGCCTTACTGCACGAAAATAAAGTATTTTATGATGACGAACCTTAATATAATCAATGTGGAATATAAATAGCTTTATTATTAAAAAGCAGCATGTTCCCAATTAATTATCCAAAAATACTCTCCCATGTGTATTGGCCTCAAACTAATCTAAAAAGCAACTACATACCAGATACCAGAAACTACAACATCTATTACAAACCGTCAAAGCTGCAATCAGACTGGCGGCGTCATCTCTAATCCACATCGACTTTCAGCGAACAGATCCTGACGATACATTCTGACTAAAGTTACTGCGGTTCAGATAACGCGATTCAAAATTACATTGTAACATATACATTCAAACCAGACATCATTTGTTACCTCAGATCTGAACAACATCATAAACAACTTCCCAAACCATTTGTCTTGCTCAGGGACTTTAATAGCCACAGTGCGTTTGGGATCAGAAACCGATGCCGGGCAATCGTGGAAAATTTTGGATAATGATACGAATTGCACTACTCAATAATGGCGAGCCAACTAGACTTAATCATCGAATGGTCGTCTTTCTACTATCATTGTCGCTTCTCAGGTGTGGCTCAATAATAGCCCAGAATATCATGGTCAGTTTTACATGAGATATGAAAGCGACCACCTAATATAATGCTATATCCACCAAAACACTGTCACCCGCCTCACTCATAGATGAAGTTAAAAACGCGGACTGGGCCTCTTTTCTACCTGGATTGACATTTATGCAAAATAATACCCAATCTGATACAAGCACAATAGAGGACGTGCCACTTTCATCTCAGGTCCATTATCAGGCTACGATGTCATAATGAGGAAAACATAATCATTTAAAAACAACAGAAGTCCCTGGTGAATGTGAAAATAAGAACTCAATCAAACAAAAACAAAGCCTCAAAACGTTTCCAAATCACAAAACATATCCGACCTCGATACTCAAACAACTCAGAGCTAAACAGGAGTATCTGGTCAAGTAAACGGCTCTTGAAACATTTTCTTCCGGTTGGTCTAAAGCTGATCATTTATCTCATATGGCACGGTCAGGTCTCCTCCGCGTCGTCAAGAACCATCATATTCCTAATAAAGGCACAGACTTATGCACTATTTGATGAATACCTTACTCTGAGACCCTTCTATCATAATACTGTGGATGATAACTACAATAAACCTTTTTGAGAATAATGTACAAATGAGAGTAGCATTTTCATCCAAAATCAACCCTGACTAAACGAACAGATGCAACCTCTCCAATTCGGCTAGCTGATATGATCAGGCATTATCAAATGCACTAGTATAGCCCCAGGACCTGATGGGATGCGTATAAGTTTATACACAACCTCCTATGTCCGCCTAAATGCAGAATTATTAGGTATACAACAAAATATGGTCATCGGCCTCCTGCAAAAGTTGAGACTCCATAATATTCAATATAAACCAGAAAAATAAATTTGAAATGAAATCTTATAGACCAATATCACTCCTAAATACCATGGCAAGATACTGGAAAATCGTGATGCTGAACTCCGATGGTTCCTCGAAAAACGGTGTACGGATCCCATCAGAACGGCTTCAGCCAGTCATAAGTACTACCAACATTGCACGACATACAAGGAAATCATTTAACTCTCGTAAACAAATTATGGGCATCATAATATGACATATCAAAGCGTATGATACTACATGGCGCCCCGTATTCTTAAAATATTATCAAGCATTATCTGTAACGGTAATCTATTCAGCTTTGTAAAGGTTTCCTTGCTGACAGAACGTTTCAAGTGAAGTGTAACGTAGTATCAAAACATATGTTCAAAGCGGCGACATCAGGATCCACACTATCGGTTCATTATTTCTCTTAGCAATTAATGATATACCACTAGCTATACAAGCGCCTGTTAAATGCACACTGTTTGCCGACGACTTCAATATATTCTGCAGAGGCATTAATCAAATAGGACTATCAGCTACCTGCAGAACGCAATATCAGCACTACAAGCCTGGACTCTTGTCAGGCTTCTCTTTTCAGTTGAAAAATCCCAATGCTTTCTTCACTAATAAAAGACATCTTGTTAACACCACCATAACAATAGACAATATCCCCTATACCAATCAAAAACACCATAAAAATATTAGGCATATTATTTGATACAAAGAAACACATGGATACCACACCTCAAAACTATCCAGAAAGGACTCACTTATAGAATCAATATCTAAATGTCTCGCCACAAATCGTGGAAGCCACTCTTCACAACTTATTACAAATATATAGGCACTCATCCTTTCAAGCTCGAATATAATTCATTCTATTCATAAAGCTAAACTTCAGCTTAATATGATTGATACTGTACAAACATGGGGTTAACTTGTCTGGAGCTTTTCGATCAGCCCGATCCCAACGTGCTTAATACAACCGGAGTAGCCCCTCGACATCAGGAGGATCCACAGCTCCTACTGCCAGCACCAGACGCACCAAAACAACCTCAAGGTAATGCAACAAATCTCGACACCTAAAAGACATCCCATTTCACATTTGGACGTTATAAAACGAAATCTCCCAAATACCCTTGGATATGAACAGCCCCTATCAATGAAGCTATGTATGAACCGCCGAAGAACACACCCCGCAATCACCACACTACACCTACGTCTCCAATGCACACAAGATTTTGCGAAATATTCACGACGGCTCCAAAATGGAAAGTGGTGTCAGAGGCTGTGGTGATTTCAAGACCACGTTTCCATGCTAGACTCAATTTTTGCTCAATAACTCGGCCGAGGCATGGCAATTTCATTTGCCGTGGACCTCATAAAAATAAAGCATTACAGAAAACAGTAGTCATAGCGACTCACTAAGCACTTTAGGAGTATTGAAATCAATCCAACCGAATGAGATCGCCAGAAAATCCAGAATCAACTCTACGACCTTGCATTCCGCTCTCAACCGTATAATATGGATTCCTGTCATAAGCAGATTACGGGAAATGAAAGAGCGTGACGAGAGCACGCCATGCAATAACATCCCCGAACGCGATTAGACTCAACTGTTTCACACACGACGCCAAATCCATACAAAACAATTTCTGACAACATATGGCTACGGACATGGAAACAAGGTTCCAAAATTAAATGAAATTAAAATACCATTCACCCATGGCCCTCTCCATCGGACTTTCAAGGAAAATAGAAACTGCAATAAACAGACTGCGGATAGGACACGTGGCTAACACACCATTATCTGATGAAAAGAAGAAACCCGCCCATTTTGCAGGTTGTGACCTCTCTCTCAATCAAACACATAGTATCAGAATGCCGCGTTGCAAACGGATAAAGGAAGCACTATCAACATCTTATCAAGCCTTCCACAGAATATTAACAATACGATTTCATTTATAATCAAGTCAAATCTATAATATTATATAACATTAAATATTTGTATATATATATTATGTAATGGATAAAAACTTATGCCAATGGCCTTTGACGCCAGGCTTTATAACAATAAAATTTAAAGAATAGATCAATTGATAATTCATTTAGAAATATAATATAACTGGATTTTATTTTTTTTTATTGTACTCGGGCACATTAATAAAGCTTAAACAGTAAATAGCCAATTAATCTATTTTAATATTAAGATAATTATAAAATATCCTTCTTATATTTAAAAACGTTTGTTAATAAAATTAATTTATAGACATTGACATTAAAATTACATACATTTTTAACTCTATGATATTTATTTAGTATTTATGTTATAGTTATATACCTATTATAAAATATGCGCATTGCTTACACAAAAATACAGCCATAGTAATAGTTTCCTAGGGAATTATAAGACCTACATTTACTATAATTTTCTACTTGCAGTTCTAAAAAAATATTGGTATATTCTTAAAGGCCATCTGGCACCATTCATTAAAACCATAATTGAGTCATGGAGCGTGGAAATATATTTTATGAATTGTTTTATAAATGATTTACTTGTTTTGTTGAAATTTAATATCTCCATGGCGTTTACTTATGTATGAGGTATTAAATACATATTATATTCAATATATATTATATAATTACACTAATTATAGAAACTCGTGCGTGTTTTGCGATGTAATAATAATTATGTAATATTATACAAAAATTAAAATAAAATAATACACTTTATTATATCGTACAATTTTTTACATTAGTTTAACGAAATTTAAAAAAAATAATTTTACATTCACATTATTTTGATCTATTTACAAAACAATAGTTGAGTATGATAGGTATGTATAAAAGATAAAAAAATATTATTTAATTTTTATGGTAAAAAAATAAAATATGTTTCTATACTTTATATTTTTTATACAAATATTGTATTTTTCAAAATTAAATTGAAGCCAATTTACATTCTTTGCTGTGCCTCGTCCAGTGTACAACATTTTAAAATCGTTAAGGTGATCTTAATTTGAAATTGATCAACAGCAAAAATGTTTAATTATTTTAAAGAACTCATAAATCTTTTAGCTCTTTAAATATATTTACGTAAAGTATGTTAAATATTCTACACAAAAGTCACATTTATTTTAATCCATCATTTAAATCTTATCTTAAAATCAGTTATGGACTTATAATAAAATTATACTATATTTTATCTTCGAAATATCCAAATTTCAAGATATTATCTATTATTATCTATTATTGGCGTACGAGATGTGTTAGGTATAATGTATTAAGTAAATGTTTTATAAATAATTGTACGAAATCAGAGATCTAAGTTTGGGTATCTACTATCTATATATTTTTAGTTTTAACATTCATTAAATATTATTGTGCATGAATGTTATATTTTAACACGACAGAATCAAGCAGGTGGTGTGATATTTTTTGAAGTATTTCACAGGATATGGCGTAAATTCATAGTCTGAATGGTGAGCTGCATCTCGTCATTACACGGAAATTAGCAATTTCCGGAATCAAAGAGAGTTTAGATAAATTTAGCACCGAAGCGATTACTCTGCGACTATTATATCTTTGTCACATAAGGATAAATCTATACGTGCAAATAGCGGAATAGTGTTGTCCCCCTTCATTTTCATAATATCCTGAATAGGGCACCGATGGAGACATAATCCGTTCATAAATTTATGTAATAAATTTCCTATCTATTTCATTATTGATTTTCGATGACGCCATTTCGTTTCCTTCTAAATAGTTATAAACGGTGTTCGTACACTGATTTATTCTAAATTTTATCTGATATGAGAGAACCAGTCGTTAGCTTATAAGTTATAATAATTGGTTTTTTTATACTGCAAATAAAATAAAGAATAAAAATGGATTACAATTTACATGTAGAATTTATTTGAATTTTGTAATATAATTTAAAAATACGACTAACAAGTGTAGGTAAAAGCTTAAGGTTTTAACTGCTTACTAGTCTAGCTATTATTTGGTAATTTCTCTGTTAATTGAGCTCTAAATAAATCATAATCTTTTTTCGAATGAATAATGAGTTTAAATTTATGTATGACTATTAGCATATTGTACGGATAATATTATTAGATAAATTGTTCAACAATTTTGTATTTTTATGCATTTGATTTGTTAAAATTTAAAATTTCACTTATTTAATTGTAAAATTTCAACGACAAGAATTCTAATTTGAATAATATTTTACGTGCACTGATGAAGATAAATTATGATTTAATTATATCATACATTCTATATTTGTTTTACAGTATTATATTAAACGACATCGTTAAAACAATATAGGACAACATTATTACTGTTAAAATAAATTTAAGTAACCATTATAATATCAAATAACTTTAATCAAATAAAATATTGTCAGATTTTGAAAAATGCTGCCTAACGAACTTAGCACAAACACGTGAAGTTACGGGCATGCGTGAATTATTGGACAATGTTTAGGAACTACAAAATAGTATAGAGAAGCAGCAATTAATGATAGAAAAAAGGGAAATTATGAAGAACTGAATAGTTTAAAATTAGATATGACCACTGTTAAAAACAATTTGAACACGTCGAACCCAAATATCAAAAACATTAGTACTCAGATGATGTTTATAGAAATTAGTATACTCAGAAATATTAAAATTTTAATTTTAAACTAATTTTAATTTAAGAATCATCGAAACGCCTAATAGTAAGATTAGCAAGCTAAAGATTCGAATCGAAATCCTTGAAAGTAATTTGGAAAATATCACGTAATCGCATCACTAATTATTATGATTATGCCGTACGTGTGTGTAGGAGAAATGACAAAAAATTGTGCTCACATTATTGGTATAGATAACTCATATCAAACGTTCTCGTCAAGTTTGAATTTGGAAGGCGTTATTACTTCAGAAGTAAATAATTTTGAATAAAGCTAGCCAAACGCTTCAACGTCGTCAGTTACGACAATAGAGTCAATATCACAAGCGCCAGTTTTAAATTTACCTTCTTCTCCACCGCCACCTACTTCAATATCGGTATTTTTTGGATGGCCATCAACACCTCCACCGCCTCCACCATCACCACCGATGTCTAGTATACCGTCCACTCGTAGCGAGGTCAAAGAGACAATGACTAGTCCGTTTCCGGTGGCAGTGTCCGATAAAACACCACCAATGTTTAGAATATCAATAACAGAAAAAATACTTAAATCTGTTGTTTTAAAACCATCTGGTGAGAAGAAGGTCCGCGGTAAAAATTTATCGACGAAGTGATGTCAAATGACGACAAAATTACGCTGTCGATGCTAACGTACAACGACATTAACGACAACCTGTGTTTAATTATCTAGTCCTTATAATATGAATAAAATAATTATTTGTTATAAATTATGTATACTTTAGTCTTTAGTACATTATATATATTAGCTAATTTATAAAACGACATTATTGTGAATTTTAACATGATAAATTAATCTTTATTTTTTTAATTTATTCTCATGAATAATTAATCAGATATTGTTATTTTTCACTGATAAAATTTAAATTATTAAATTTATTTATAAAATATAATTTATTGTTAAAGGAACTTAAAAATCATAAAAAAAAAAAAACAACTAACATGAAAAAACTAATTAAGCAACAATCAAACTATAGGTTCTTAAATATTCGAGGAGTTTATTGGAAATGTGTTCATTAAAAATAATAATATATTTATTTATATAATTATTGTTATACCACGGGAATATGAGTGTATATAACATAAAAACCTTAATGAGCAAATTGTAATAATGTAAAAATTATTTTAATAAGAGTAAATTATTTTCATATTTTAATAAATAAATACATATAATTAACACTATTTATCTTTATTATAAAAAATAAATTCATTTAAATTTATGAGAGAATATACACACCTACTTTATCACTTAATCTGCAGTTGAATTAAAACAAAATTTTTTTTTAACTTTATTTTTTTAATATTTCTTATCTTTAGAACTGTTTAAGCTTTTTACTTTTTTGAATGACAACATAGATTTTTAATTTTAAATCAAAATGTCATTTTGAAATGTTTGTAGTTAATATTATCCTGATTAGAGAAAAGTGATTTTAATTTTGAAAAATTATGCACAAGCGAATAAACACGAAAAATGTTTAAGGACATTCAACTCAACAATAAATTCTAGACTAAATTTGTTTATAGAACTATAGAAGTAACTTGTAGATCCAAAATACACCATTAAACTTATTTCTTCTTTCAAGGGTTTTGATATCAGAATTGATTTCTTGTTGTTCAAGAAATGTGCTTATTATATTTGTTTTATATGCAAGTACCCATAAAAACTGTTTCTGATCACGTTCAATCTAGATTTACTATAATCGCAATTTTTTGACGAGGATTGAAAGTAACCGAACTCTGGTCTTTAATAAAACTAGTCAAAAATAAAAAAAATTGCATTTTTAACTCTAATCAATTACAACGTATGAAATCATAGGTAGTAACCAACCTAACCACCAAACACATCGTATTTTAGCTTTTTTTTTTGCGTAGCATTTTTTATTCCTTGGTCAAATAGTTTGAATATTCAATACAAATTTTCTCGTAAGTTTTTATTACACCTGCAGTTATAAAAATACCGTTAGTATCTATATAATATAGTCACAAATCACATAGATTCACTTTGCAATTGCATTTTGTTAGTTAATAGTACCTTTTAATGATCTGTTACTAATTGAGTATAAAATAATATTTTTCGCAATCGACTATGACTTATAGTGTATATAAATTATAAACATTTTATACAACGTGTTAGATTTTATTCTTCCATTCGTTGAATGATTATTTATTTATATCAACTAATATAATTATTTTACTATTAAAATCGAAAACAATACATACATATGAATTGCAATTTTTTTATGAATTGTTTAATCATAAAATATCAATATGAATATGCATTAGTATATTATTATATCTTAGGTGTATGTCATATAAATTCAAAATGTATTTTTAAGTTATGTACACAATAAAAATACTTATCAATCTAAAATGTTCTTTATTCGTGCATTCTACACAATATCGTTTTATAATGTTACAAAATCAACAATAATTATCATACTAAAAATAGTGTTTATTTTGGTAAAAATTAATTTTAATTTACAATATAACAAATATAGTGAGATTACGTTAGATTAGATGTATGATTGCATCTAATAATATGTAGTATGTACAGTTGCAGTATAGTTAATAATAATAATAATAATATACATTTATAGTTAGGTAATAAAAATAATATATTAAAATATTTAATGCTATTTTTTAAAATTATATTCTAATTGAATGCATTTGTCTGCAGCGCATTCTTTATTTTACTATTTATAAGTCGATCAATGTTTGTATGCATCACGAAACTCAAATGCCCAAACTTTATATTATCGATGTAGTAGATGTCCTTCATATTCGGCAATTTTTCTGCCAACCAATTAACGTCCTATAATATGATTTGTATAGATATAAAATAATAAGTCAACAAAAAAATCAAAATAGGTAAATACAAATAATAAATGATAACAATAATAATAAAATTGTTCGTTGTTCAGTTTTCATGTTTATAATAAACATAAAATAATAATTATAGGCTTTTTTTTTTAAATCCAATTCTTTTATATGAAGAAAAATGTGAATGAAATGAAATATTTTACGAAAAAGGTTAGATTACTTATATTATGACGAGAAATTTCATTTTAATTTTTTATAATTTTTTGATTTTGTATCATAGTCTGATGGCTTAAAGTTCTAATTAATCTATTTTTATATCAGTTTTATTTTTAGTTTTATCGGTTAATTATATTTATATAATAAATTATAAAAATAATTTTCTTAATATATCCCTGGTTTACTCACATACATTTTGATACATACAAATTAAAAAACAACTATAAAACGCTTTTTCAAGTCGATTTAAAATTTATATTAAAATATATTCTAGAAATAGTAAAAATATTGATCTATAATTGCATATTACAATTTTATAATTTATCAAAGTCTATGATACATATAATATACGCACACTGTCGTACATTATATTATATTATGTAGAATATTCCATAAAGCTTTATTAAAGAGCTTTTTTAAAGAGATACCATGATGAGAATAATTACGTATATATTATTATTGCGTAATAGCACTTAAATAATTAATTATTCAAGGCAATTCTGAAAATAACAAATATATTGCCAAATGTATACAATTTATTAAACGTTTATTTTTTAACAACCTGTGTCTAATATTTTATATTCATTAATATAATTTATAAAACTTTATTATAATGATCTTTCCAATAATTTAAATCTCAAAAGATTTAAAATAATGTTTATTTCTTTCTTTTTTTGTAGTTTATACACTTAGCTAAAATTAATTAATTATGTTTAGTTAAAATTTTAGTAGTTAAGGGGTAAAATAAATAGAAATTAATATTTAATAATTATTAAAGTAATATATTAATATGAACTGCCCGAAAGATTTCTGATTAATTATCTAATTTCATAATAGATACATCAGTTGCAGTACACTAAAATTAAATAGTACAAGTAAAATTAAATTGCTTGTTTATAAAAATTCTTTCATTATACAAATAGAGTAATATGTTTAAAATAAATAAAATGGGTAAATAAATACTTTTATTGCAGATAAATGATCATCTTTTGAATGTAAAATGTAAACCGCAGTAGTGACTTTGGATAAATTATAATCTGGCGGTGATTTCATGTTGTAATATTGCATATTTTTATTCACACCATAGTCATATTTACAGAATCGTTCTAAAATTATAAAGTATAACAAATTATTATAAATGCATTGTATAGAGTACATGCATAGTTGGATATATTACAACAAAATATAATAATTAGTGTAAATATTTATAAAAAACGAAACTAATAAATAACCAAAATAATATTGTACTATGTAATTATATATTTATAGTATTTATACCAATGAATTTTATGTTTTATTTAATTTATTTTCCAATAAAAAAAAAGGTAGATAAATGGGTACTGCTATTCTGTACATTAGATGTCGAGTAGGTTACTATTTAAGGTGTGTTAAATTTAAATTCAATGGAAATATTGTGTATACGAAAAACGATTTTGAGCACAAACGGTCTATCAGTCTGTAACACTAAGTATTATGTTTATTTGATATAGTTATTAAAGTAATTTATTCTACTTAAATTATTATAGTAGATTGATAATATTTTTTCTGAGAATATTGAATTTATTATTTAATTATTACGATAATAATATTATATATATTCATGACATATATATAATATCAACTTGTATAACTTAAAATATAATAACATCTATTTGTAAAAATTGTAAAATAGTAAAAACAGATTTATAATATCTATAAAAAGATAATATTTTAAAATAAATCAAAAATGTTAATTTTTGTATAAATGGCTCAAAAATTAGGTAAGGTTTTTTTAACTAACAATAGATTAAAAAACTGATTTATTCAAGCTGTACAAAGAAAAATATATGTACCTAATACCTACTAAATTTTATTTAAAATTAAAATCTTTTTTGTTATTATTATAATATTAGTCTTACAGACTTCGAACTTACTTGATGACATTAATTGAATCCAATGAAATAACATTTTTTTAGATATCGGTTGTGGGAAATCTGTTAAAGTACTGATCACCATATCCTTAAATGTAAACAACAAGTTTATAATGAAGTAATTATATTATATTTTGGTGAGCGTTGAAAAAAGTTAATATATAATGTATATAAATAGGTGCTATTAATTAAAGCATTAGGGTAAAATAAAGTTGGTTTCTAGTAATTAAATTTGTGTTCTCATATTCAGAAATTCATAGGTAGTTAGAAATTATTCTAACTAATAAATATTAATTTATTTTTGTTCTTTTTGTAAACAATTTCGAATAAATAAAAATAAATAACATACATTATACGCAATTATCACTGAAGGCGAATATCATACTGGACACAATCCTTTTTTTCTCATTCGGTACTATATATTTGTGATGTGTATAAAATATTATAAAACTTACTTTATTGTAATTAATTCTAGATCCTTGTGCAGTGTTTATGTATAATAAACAATACGGATAGAATATTGTGTATGAACATAGCCATCTCAAATAACGATGTGCAGCATCTGGATCTTGAACTGTCGGGAAAAAATTCTGTTCCTTCATTGAGTACTTAACAAAAATAATAATAGAATATAAATGCATGTAGCTCATTTATAATAAATATTTCAAATACTTTTTTTTACTCAAAGTTAGAAGTTACTATAATTACTGTTAAGAAGTATAGGTACACTTTGTTATACTGCCATCATGCGATTTCTATATTGTTGTTACACATTTTCTATCACTCTAGTTTTCGACCATTGAAAAAATGAGGCGTGTCTAATTGTGAACGACTAACGAATTATCACGTACGCCTAATTTAATTTTATGGTATTTTAATTTTGAATACACGGCCAAGTACCGAATAATGATAGCTAATCGTGTAGGTTAATTATTCAGTCTTCCGCGAATCGGAGAATATAAATCGTAGATTATTACTTATTACAATAGTTCTACTTGTCATATAATTACAATCCAATGTCAATCTGTTATAAGGTAATAATTTATTCTTACCCTCTTACCAAGCGAGTCAATGCATCAAGGCGTAACCGCGATGGCGATTTGATTTAAACATTAAAGTTTAAAATCTCCCTCTTCACTCCAGAATTTTTTTTTTTAATTATCGATGCGCTTGGTCGTAGTATAATAAAGATTAAGCACTTGTGGTTTATAAAACGACTTTAGTTATTTTTATGGTATGATTAAAAACTATTATTTTCATGTATTATAATAATACATTAATTGGTGAGGATAATATAGAATGACGATTTATAATGAAATTGTTTGGATTATATAATATAGTATTTGAAGTTACTTTAAACAACAAGGAACCACGGTGAAATGCAGAAAACGGAAATCCGTACGCTATCATTCTGGTCATCGGTGCCATCAATACTAGTTTGTCGACCTTTTTGTTGTACGCGGGCTTCTCCGACAATCCAACAAGTGCAATGGTCGCGCCCAACGAGTAGCCAACGACGTCTAATTTGGAGTGTCCGGTTTTGTTTAGAACAAAGTCGATGGCGGCCGAAAAATCATAAATGCCCATTTCGTGGAAACTAAAAATAAAGAATAAATCATATATTAATATGTTATACAAGAGCAAGGACGTAACGTGAGGTATATCAATGATAAGTTTTTTAATTGAAGTGATAGTGCATGCCTAGCTATATTACTTAAAACTTTAGAAGTGTATAGCATATGTATCATCATTAATGTCCATTAGTCATTGACTATGATTTCCCATCAGATATTAATTTCAGCTTAAATCGTTAAGTTTGTAAAAGAAAAAAAAATTTACGTGTTATTAAAAACATTGTTGTGTAAATTTAATTTTCTTAATGTATAGAGTTAAAAATATTATGGGGATTAAAACTATTTATTCGGAATTAAAATAAATATATATTCATTTTATTAATTCATAATACTACACTTACGTATTTTTATGAACTCAAATTTAAAATTTTTCAGTTAATATTAATGTTACTTGAAATCATAATATGGATTTAAATCGAACAACACTGACTGAGCGTACGCAGGGAATCGTTTTAAAAACATTAATTTAAAAAGTTGTTTTTTTTTTTTTTAATATCGTGAAACTTATTGTTCTAAAAAAGCGGATTAAATAACTAGCTTGGGTAATATCTACTAATTTATATAAACAAGTATTTAAGAATAAATGATAAAAATAAAAATAAATATAAAAAAATGCAGTCTATGCAGTCTATTGACTATGTAATTTATCAATTATTAAAAAACTTCTGAATTATATTGATCACAAATTCTCCGTGTTAAATTCGTAAAATTTTAAAATCATACCTAAAGTCCCATGACATTTTGTTCATTCTCGGTGCCGTTCCCATCTTTGAGTAAATACTATATGTTCTGGACAAGCCTGTTCCTCTGGCGTTGAACAACCATACGTCGTATCCCGCCTCTGATAGCGAATAACCTATATTTAAATACGTATGATACACATTATTAACAAATAATTATTCTTATTAAAGTGTTAAAGTACACTATTTCGTATTAATTAGAATTTAAAATTTGAGTAATTCTAAGTGTTTTTTAGACGAATATTTAGGTTTGCAGAATGTGTGCGTATAATAAATAAACAATCCACTGATTTTAATTTTTTTTTTTTAATTGTAATTAGTTACTAATTGGCAATACATAATACTATGTAATATTTCAATTCCATAGAAGTCAAAATGTCAAATAAACAATAAATTTTAATCGTATTAACTGTACACGAATGTAACAATTTTATTTTTAATTAAATATATTATATTATTTCTTAGTTGTATAATTGTTTTGTAAATAAAGTAGTGTGCGGTCATGATACTATTAATAATGATACACATTTTTAAATAATAATGAATATTTAAAATATTTTTACAAGGTTATTTGTGATACCAGAATTTTTTTAATTTTTAGTGATTTTTTTTGATACTAATTCAATTGAGGAATGAATTAATGTGTCTATAAAAATAATGAATATAGTATAATTTGAAGTTTTTTTGAAAATATTAAAACTATTTGCATAGAGAAAATTTGATTGATTGAAAAATAAAATTGTAATGTATTTTTTAAGTCCAATTTAGCGTATTTTTAATTAATTTTAAATCTTTAAAAATCTTTTGTATATCGGAAGTTGATAAAAGTAATGTTAGGCATTATTAGTTCTAATAGACCTAAACCAAAGATATATTATTATTTTATATTTTACCAGTTAAAAAATTTCGACCACTATTATATTTTATAATTTTTATCGGATTTTCTTTTATAGATAATTGAATAAGGTGTTTTTATAAATATTATTACTTAATTATTTATTTTTTGGGGTTGGGCTTGATGAATTTATGTTTTTCATTGTTAATTATATTATTTGTGATGCCTTAATATTATATGCATTATATAACCTGTGAACCAACCCGCCTTATATTTTTATATTTATATAATATAAAATGACTTACTCAACGATTTATTTGTATTTGTGAATACAAAAGAACTCAGGAACAAACCATGCATCAGCAAAATAGGCTTGCCAATGGTCCGGTCGCCGTTTTTGCTATAAGGTATTCGTTCCAAGCCAAGTGTAAACTTATCCAGAGTTTGGAGTTTGTATTTTTCCAGCGGATAACCTGATTGATTAATAGATTCTTCCTAATATAATATGTGTATTGATTAAAATTATCGGATAACATTTTGGACACGTGTTTTACACGAAAAACGAATAGATTATCAACAGAAATGAGCATACTTTCAATTGGTATAAGATGTTAGATGTGGTAAATTTAGTATAGTTAGGTATTTAATACTTACGGTATTTAATGGTGCAACATTGCATTTCGTGTAACCTATTAGCGAAGTAAATATCAAAAATAAATTACATAATTTATTCAATAAATGAAGCATGGTTTTAATAAAAATGATTTAAATAATTATTAAATTAAAAGAAAAAAATAATCTAAACAAATTTTGATGTTATGTAATATAGAAAAACATGTTTAATATTTAATATATCAAAGTAGACAACATATACATACGAATATAGTATTCATATGCAACATGCATAAGAATCAATCAATCCAGCTATTTTATTGAAAATATTTTTTATAGGAACTCATCAATGTTCAAGGGCAAAAACGTTAATTGAGTGTTCCGGTGTTTAGATTGAAATGCTGTCTCTTGGTTATTAATATTTGTCGAGAATATTTTTTAAGTGTTATACTAAAAGTAGGTTTATTTGTTAATTCTCCTTATTGCATATAACCATGACGTATATAAATCAAATATTTTTGTATATGCTATGGTACATTTAAAGTCTTATAAACATAATTTATACCTATGGTATTATTCAGGTATTTATATTTTATTGAATTTCATATATAGGATGATTCATCAAGCATGTTTATCCCTTCATTTTCTTTAATAATGCAGTTATTAAAAATCTGATGCTCAGAATTTTTAAACATATTTAAAGGCTATATTTTTTATTTCCTTAGATTTTTTGTACTACTTAAGAAGTTTCCTGTAGAAAAATTTTGTTCGTCAAATGAGAACACTCTTTTTTACTGTAAACTATTTAACAGATAATTTTTCTGAAAATTTCTATGTAGGTACATATCAAAATTAAAACTTAAACGAATAGTTTTTATATTTAATTTAACTTTGTGTATTAATGATAATGAGATAATAGGTTCACAATTAAGAGTTTGGAAGATGTAAGAGTTTCTTACATTTGAAAGCTTTAGTAATTAAAATTAATAGATCAATACCTAATTAATATAATCTACGAAAATGGTTCAAGTAAAATAAAACTACTAAATAACATTTATTTTATATTTTTCGGAAACCATCTAGTATTACAAAAAATATAAAGAATTTTAAAACATTATATAAAACAATGTTTAAAGTGTATTTAAAAATATCGAAAATCAGAGTTTGAATAATTTTATTACTAAAACAAAAAACGTAGGGGAAGGGAGAGGTAAGTATGTTTGGTAAATCTTTCATTATAGTAAATATAAAAGAACATAATATTTCATTGACATATTTTTTGATATTGTACATATCAAATTTAACAAGAACCTGAAGTTATGAATATATATTTAATTGCTCTAACCAGGTATTTACCAAATCATTTGATTTTTTTCAATAATTTTCAAATTTAACAATTCAGTAAGAATAATTATTCCATGTTCACATCACAAACACAAGTTAATTTGCCTATATTAATAATTGTTAAGATATTAGAAAATATAAAATTTAAGGAAATTTTACATTTCTAGCTTAATGTTGATATACAACATTCTTCCTATTTTTAACAGATTATTTAAATGTTGTGACTATAAATATGTTTGTATATTTTATTTTAATATTTAAAACTATAAATGATACACTTTAAATTATTAAATTTAGTATTTTTTAATATTTAAGTTCGTTCTAACATGTTTATAGATATTATTGATTTAAATTAAATATTTATAAATACAATGAATCTTTATCTATATAGGTACATAAAATAACTGATGGTAATAATATAACCGTATTATTTAATCATAGTCATTACTCATTTTAGTTATTAAATTAATTATGAATCATCAATGCCAAATAAATATTAACTATACCATTATTTTATTTTTTAATGATATACCTATTATAACAATAATAATAATAATATAATATACATACAATACGAAATGTGTTAATTGTGACTTATTTAAAGTAATAACATCTTTAATTTTATGCATATTATTGTTATGATGGTTTTAAATATTAATAATTGAAGTCAGAATTCACTGAAAACAAGGACTAATCAATGCAAATGATAAATTTTTCATTTTATACAAATCCAAATAAATGCTATATCAATTTAATACAATTATTTAAAGTACTGATAGGTATTTTTATTACTATAAATTTACTTTGTACATTATTATATTTTATTTTATTATCATAATACTGAATTATTATCTAATAATGTATTTGTTATGTACATATTCACAACTTCCTTCATAATTGGACTTAGTGAAAAACTTAAATGACCAAATGGTATTTTGTCAATGTAATGAACATCTTTAATATTTGGTAACTGACTTATGAGCCATTTCACATCCTAAAAAATTAAAATACATATTATGTTAAAAACAATGAATAATTTATAATTATTTGAATATATTATTATTTTAATAAACATATTTAAAAATGTTATAATTTATTATTTTTCATTGAATAAGAAGTAGGTATTAGCAATAATATACATTTTACGCAATTTTTATGAAATTATTAAAAGAATATTTTTATTTATCACAAGATTTTAAATTTGAGAATTCAAGATATTTAATATTAGCTATTTTTCACTTTTATGCTATCCTATTAGTTTTTAACTTTTTTAAATAATATTTTAAAATTTATTACAAAATTGATTTCAAATACCAGTACAAAATTCTATAAGTGTAAATTTAGAGTATTAAAAATTATGAAAAAAAGTTGTATAAATTTAAATTTTATGTGATCAAAGTTAATAAAATATACTGGGATACGAAATATCCTGAAAAAAAAAAATTAAAAAATTAATGTTCTTTATTAAAATCGATATCCGATTATACTAAAATCGTAATTAAGCAACAATAAAATTAACTTACAAAAGCTAGACATTATCTTTAAGCTATTTTAGATCTTAAATTATAAAATAATTATATAAGCATAATTACCATTGGATGTACTAAAGTATCGTTTTTGGAATATACAATATATGTAGGAGCAGTAATCCTGGATAGATTGTAATCCGGTGCCATTTTTGTGTGGTAATGTAACAAGTTTCCATAAGAACCATAATCATAATGACTAAATCTCCCTGAATTTACATAAAAAATTGAATTAAATCCAGGAATCGCATATATTTTCATATAAGTATATTATTGTCAAAATTAATTATCAAACACAATTTTTTTTATTTATCGTATGATTTAAGACCCATGCATTTTGAGAAATAGTAAATAGTGAATTAGTGTAGACGTTAATCATACAAAACATTAATGTATTACGATAAATTATTATTATTTTTTTTTTTTTTTTAACCATTTTGTGTAAGTACAATAGGTACAAAGTAATTATGAATAGGGCACCGAGACGTCATAAAGTCATTTAATCATCCTTGAAGTGTACAATATGCTAGCCATATACTAATGCTAATAATATGAGATATTATTATTAGTTAGTATACATTATAACATAATAATGCACGTTGTGTTCATGTACCTACTTTTTTAGACCCAACTGAAATTAAATCGCGTGATGTTACCATAATTTTTACTTACCGGATGTCAATAATTGTAGCATGTGTTTTAATGTTTTGGAAGACATTGGCTGAGGAAATTCGGAAACAATGTCTAAAATTGTGTCCTATATATGTAAAAATAATTTCTTATTATAGTTACGTGTCTTAAAATTTAATTAAAAATATCTTAAATAAACTACCTTTAGAAAAGAATATCTAAAAATATATCTTTACCCACTAATACATTACATTCAATATAGTGTTTAATATATAGGGTTTTTCAACATTTAAAACCTATTGTCATAATTTATTTATTTTTTTTTTAAATAACTACGTGCTTAATGTTATTTAACTATCACAATAATACATTTTTGTAAAATAAGCGTAAAATAATTTCAAAAAAGATGTTTAAATTTTACTGTTTTAAAATTGCAAATCACTCATATTATAACAAATTTTGTATTTTAAAGTGAGTATTTAAAAAAAAAGTTTATATATAACTTTATAAGAAGTAAATATCAGTTTAACTTGTGTTATTTTCTACTGATAAGTATTTCGATTTTAAATAGTATAATTTAAGCATAGGATAAAAAATATCTTGAAAAATTGTGATTTTTATAAACTTCATACATTTTAACTCGAAAGCTTAAAACTAAATCTATAAAATTATGAATACCCATTTTAAAAATTATTAGATTTAAAAATATAAATAAAACGTAGTGATGATCAGATAATTTTTCAAAAATGTTGTTATGCAGTTAGTTTGTCATATTATGTAAAATATTGATTTAAATTTAACAATACCACAAAGTATGACTCGTATAAATTAGTGATTAATATGTATTAAATGAATAACCTTGAATAAAATAAATAAATAAACATATAATTAACCGATGCATCAATCTGCTTTGCGTTTCGAATTAACAATTTTAAAGTTATAATATACATTTTAAAATATTTTTGAATTTAATATATTATTATGATATTATATTTACATTTAAGATAATTTTGATTTGTAAACTTTTATTGATAAACGGAATGTTAGTCGTATTATTCAACTAGTTTTATACGTACCTAAATCATTATAGGTACCTCATAAAATATAAATTAGAAAAATAAACCAAAACATAATAATATTATTAATATGATTATTATTATAATTTTGTTTTATTAATTAAATAGTCTCATGTAAAATAGAATATTATGTAATACTAAAAACCATACAGTTATATATAAAAATGATTTCATAAAATGTTTTATAGTTTTTTGATCATTATTTCAATCATCGAAGTAGAGGAAAATTTCAATCGTATGGCTTTTTGGAATTTTAAACTTAATAAATATAATTACTCATTTTTGTTTCGTTATTGCTTACATTGTTGATCGGTAAAATTATCCCTTGAGCGAAATCAATAAATTGTCTGCAATATTTAAAAGCACTCTCATTGGTACACATACGTCTAATTAATCGATACGTAGTGTCTGGATCATTAGTGTACGGAAAGAAATTAAACCCATCTAAAAAAATCTAAAACATATAAATTAAATCATTTAAGTTAATTTTACATACATGCAATTGATGTTACACAATTTACACATAACCTCTGAGTAGGAATATCCTTGGTTTCACAGGAACCATTAACGTGGAAAAATTTAATTGGAAAAAAAAATGAATATTTACGTTTACGATTTTTGAAAATTGTTTTATAATGTTGAGAGGCATGCCCGATGATTTAAGTCTAGAAGTTGGAGCCATGAGTACAAGTTTGTTGATTTTAGAATTGTATTCTGGTCTATCGGATAGGCATACCAGAGATATTGTTGTCCCAAGGGAATATCCCACCACGTCCAATTTCGAATGTCCGGTACTTTTTAGAATAAAATTTATAACAGTAGTCATATCGTATACACCCATTTCATGAAAACTAAAAAAAAACAACAACAAAATCAGTTAGCAGAATAACTTATAACAACTGTATTGGTTTTGGTAGATAAAACGGGTCGAAGCACTTATTTTTTACATACGGTATATGTATATTGTTAAAATTTTGTACACAACCACTCACCTTTAACAGTAGTAATTATATCTTGGAAATTAGAATATCCAATAATGTTTCTTTTACTCATTTTATTATTAAAATTTTAAATTATAAATTAAATTCAGAGCCAAGGTTTTTTTTTTTTTATTAATTTTTACTAATCTGTTCAGAGAAGTTACTGTAAATGTGTATTAAAAGTTTTCTTAATTATTGATTTATGATAAAGTTTCACCAAGGTTAGGTCCCTAATAACTAACTGCATAAGCTGTGTAATTATGAAAATTGATTTTAAATTATTTTTCAGCTAAAACCTAACTTTTAAGTTGTATGTAAGTTATTTTAACCAATAATTAATTAAAATTCCATATGTTTTATTATACGAGATTATAACTGTTAATCAAACTGTTTTTTTTTTTTTTTCGTATAACTGTTTATTGCTGGGATTTTTATAGTTAAACAATCTGCTTTAACATAATTTTCTTTTATAAAAACTAATACATTTTTAAATATTACACTTAAAACAAAGAATTTATTGTTGTTGAATATTTAAAAAACATAAAAAACAAAAATTCAGTAAATAATAATACAATCAGAAAAATTGATTTTTGTGAAAAACATCATCATTAAATCAAAAAAAAATAGGAGAACTCGCTTTACTGCTTAATAGTAAGTCATCAAGTGTATCTTTTTATTAAGTATAAATCACTTTTAAAAACTGATTTTACTTTTAAGCTTCTATTTTTAATTAATCATTATTTTTTTTATTTTTTTTAATTAACCCTAATATTTTGAAAATTAGTGAGAATAATGAATAATTAATCACCGATTGCAGCAGAATCTGCTTTTAAATATTATCATACGGTAGTTATCAGTTGTTAACTTTATTTTTAATGAGGGTAATTGAAAAATGACTTGTAGAACTTTAACGCATCAATATACATTTAATTACGTTTATGTGCTTAAGTAAAATTTGTTAGTATTATTTGCTTATTGTCAATTGTTTTTCAATTGTTAACAAAAGTTTTTAATATATTTATAATTTATATCATAAGATATATTAGTTTAGATACCTGAAGTTCCATGATATGCTATTCATTTTTGGCTGCAATCTAGATTCCTTATAAATGCTAAGTTTTCTTGAAAGACCAACACCTCTGGCGTTGAAAAGCCAAACATCAAAACCAGCATCCGATAAAACGTAACCTCAAATCAAATAATGCATGTTATTATAGTCTACTATGCTAGGAACAAAACAAATAAAATATTTTAAGAGTAACGACTAATTATAATGCTGTAATATTATTGTCAAGTAAATCAAGAGTTAAATTGGGTCATTTTTATATATTTTTATATATCAACTGCTTATCTGATGAGTTGTTTGATAAATATTTAATTTTTCTGAAAATATATTTACACAATGTAATTATGTAATCAATGTTGTGTAAAGACAATTTTTATGTTTTAAATGAACATACAATACGGTCTAGAATAACATCATTGTACAGGTAACAATAAAAATTATAACCTTATACTATCTCACTTAAGTAGCTATTTATTTAAATAAAAAAAATGATGTATTTTTTTAGTAAATATAATACATAATTCATAAAAGAGAAAACATATTATACCATATCTAGATTTAAAAATTGTCAACTGTAATATTGTTACTAGACTTGATTCTTAAACCGTATTTGAGTATAGGGCAGCATACAAATAATATGTAACTTACAGTAATAGATATTTTATTTCAATGAAAAAACCTTTATTTAAAAAAACGATTCTAAGCAAAGATAATATTTTGTTAATATAGCCTCTAAATTTAAGGCTATTTACAATAATATTTTCAAAATAATTTTTATAGTAAGACAAATTGAAATGGTTTAAAAAAAATTGCAATATGTTTTATTGAATAAATATTGTGGTATTATTGACATATAATATATTATTTTTCTATAATTATCATCATTATTTTTTACTTATTATTATTATTATTTTTATTGGTACCTATGAATTTAATTTTGTAGTAAATAGATGATAATTAGTTATGATATTTTAAAAATTTAATTGTGTTCATGAAATAATAATGTACTTATATACATAATGAAGAAAAATGTTAAGTCTCTAGGTATTATAAATATTTTTTTGAATAACAACTCTACTAAATACCAACAACTTTTTGAGACAAAATCATTATCTTTTGATTTAAATTCTAAATTTATTGAAGTTGAAATTATATACATTTATATATATATATAAAAAATGTGATTAAGTAGTTTTTTGATATTTTTAAACAAAAATTCAGAGATATTGTGTTAAAATTACATGGTCATAAGCCAAGAGATGAAAATTGTATCAACATATTTTAAATAAACAATTAAAAAAAAGTCAAAACAGCTCAAAAGAGGGAAAATATTTTGAAAAAATGTTTGTTTAAAATACGTCATTATACAATAATTGATGTAGCAATTTTCAATTTTTTCCAAATAATTTATTTTTGAAGTAGGTAGGTATATTTAATAAAAAAACAAAATAAATTTTCTCAAAATTGGAATTGGGTGAATATTTCCGTTAATTTGTAACTTTTTCCAATTTTTGTGAAAAATATTGAAAATTTCTTATACTTGAACCGAATCCAAATTCTATTTCTATCAAAAATTCAGAAATTACCTACCTTTAACAAATTAATTACTCAAAAACGTGGATAGAAAAAAAAACATTAAATATATTATCTATGAAAATTTAACAAATATGCACTAAATAATATAATATTTCATTATAAATTGTATATTTAAAATAATTTCTTTATAGTCTGTTTTAAATATAAAAAAAAAAAACTTCTCTAGAATATGTAAAAAAGATTCGATTATAATACTGATGTATTAAGGTAGCAATATTATTTATATTATTTTTAATTAATATCCATAGAGTATTTTAATAACTTATTTAATATATTATTCATTTTATACAAACTAAATATTTGAGGAGATGTTTTTAGTATAATATTTAAATATTTTAATACGAATATAGTTATATTATATTTAAACAGTATAAATTTAATCAAAGCATAATAATAAAAATAATATTACCTACATATTATTAATTTTATTTATTGAATTAGAAAAATAATTTGATATTTATTCACGAAGTACATAATACTTAAAATAATATATATATATATAAATTATTGCCTGGATAATATTATACCTCACGGATACAATTTAATATAATTTTACCAAACAGTTCATCAATCAGTCTCTTAGGAGAATGAATTATTATTAAGTATTATAATCGTCATTTATATTGCAACAAGTTTTTGATAGACATTACCTATCGGTCGTTAGTGCTGATGTCAATTTTTTGGTACTGTTGAGTTACAATCACATCGGTAAAAATCGATCAAAAAGAGTATAACTGCCCCAGTTGTAAAGTGATGCTACTTACATGCATGTAAAGCAAATAGATTGTTTGAAAAATAGATGTGCATAAATTACAATTATTTATTTTTTTTTTAATTTAACCAACAACTAGGGCCATTAGCTGTTGTAGGGGTTATGAACTGTGGAAGGGGTAAGGTTGGTATGATAGGTTGTTTTTTACGATTGTTACGGTTGATAGAAAACACGTGTATGTATGGCAAGGTTTTTAACCACTATGATCCCGGGTGGTCACCCATCGGGGAGCTAGTAGTTGTGGCCGTTACTTAGCAGCCAACGTAGCAAGACAACTTTAAATTTATTATAATTGTTTAAAACATTTTGAACTTACTAAGTGACGAGTTGTTTATCGTGAATATAGCTGACGATAAATACAGACCATGCAATAACAGAACTGGTTTTCTGATAGATTTATTACGGTGTTTACTGTACGGTATTCGTTCTAGCCCCAACAAATATTTGTCAACAGTCCTGACTTGATACGTCATCAGTGGATATCCGAATTCCTTAATCTTTTCTGCCTTAAACAATTTTAAAATGGGTTTTAATTTCCAATGATAGCTAATAGTATTTACTAAGTAGACGGGTAAGTAGTAACAAATTATATTTGTACATATTTATTGATATAAAGATATTATTTTCTTAAATGAGTGCATGTAATGAATACAATAAATAAGAACGTAATATATCAATGCATTGATAGTTCTATTGACTATATTGTAATGAGAATAGTTAATGCGTAATACAACATTTCAACAAATTTGAAAAACCATAATGTTAAAAACCTGTATTTTATCTTTTAACGCTATATACCTATTTTTCAAATGATTTTATACACAAATTATGAATTCAGGCAACGAAATATTTAAAACAATATTTTTTTTATTTTAATAACTATTCACGTATTAGTAACACATACCTTTTTAGGGTCATATGTATTCAATCGTATTTTATAGAATTTAAAAGTATTATTTTAATTAAAACTGTGTTCATATTGCAGATATTTTAATTAAATATAACTCAATGTTTAGCTTAGATTGTTATAGGTTAGAGACTGGCGCACGCAAATTGTTTGTTGACATGAAAATAAACGGAAACAGCATAGTATATTAGAATGGGAATGATAAAAAACTTAACACAACCATTTTTTGGACATAATGACGAAAAAAATAAACATGCTTAAGCAGAAAATTGAATGTATTGAACTTGTTACAATGTTATTTATAAGTATTTTTGTTTTGTTTAAAAATCATTATTAGGTAGTTAAACATAAAATAACGTTACTGTTAAGTATTGTTATAATAAGTACGAACTACGTATTTTGAATTATTACGAAGGAACACCCTACAAAAGGGCTAGAACCCATGATCCCAAGATCAAGTGTCTCGTGTTTTTAAAACGAATATTTTTCTTAAATATTTTAATTTTTGTTTTTCACAAAATTCAAATAATTGATCTTTTTTGATAAATAAATCTCTTTAATTATATTGATAATTGCTGTATGGATCGATTTTTTTAATAAATCGTGTAGATTAACTCTTTTTAAAACAACAAAACAAACCTAATCATTGTAAACTGAAAACAAATAAATCAAATCCCCATTAGGCACCACTTTATTGTTATTCAATATGCCAATAAATTATTAAAGAATAACGTTTAACTTAAGAGTAATAAATAAATAAAAATAAATGTATAAAAATATCGAAATAACAATAGAAAGTTTTTTTTTTACATTTAACAGAGTATTATTTTTTAACCATATACTATCTTGAAAGTCGTAGAGATTAGATATATGTCAAGTTTTGTCATGCATCAAGATGGATAATAATCACGAATTTACATTAGTGCATAAATAAAATATACATAACAATGAAATTATATTTAATATTTATGTTTAGAAAAAAATAATGCATTAAACATTAAATATCTATGTATTAAATTGTATTACACAAATAAATTGTTTTCTGTTTAAATTTTTTAAATGTTTTTTTAAACCTATTTATGAAAGTAAAATAAATTATAATTTTAAGTTTGAATTTGTTTAATGCAATTGGTCATGTGGAAAAATAATGATTGTACTGCTTTTATTAAACAATTCAAATCGTTCGTTTAACATATAGTATTAAAATATTATGTTAAATATTCACATTTCAATATACTAAAGAGCATAAGTTTTAAATTAAATACTTAAAAAATAATTTATTATAAAAGAAAAGCATATATTATATACTTACTGATTCCAAGCAAGCAACATAATCAAATATAGCAAAAATAATAGTTGCTAGAAATATGACGGTTAATATACATTTTTCCATTATAAACAATCGCATAGTCAAAAACTATATGAAAAGTTCTGTTTATAATAATTGTTCTTCAAGCATAAAAAAATATATTTTGCGTTGAACATATATTTTAATTTTGTATAGTTAAAGTATAAGTATTATTTATCTGCTTCGAAACCGTCCTACCCTAACACTGTGAAACTCGGTACAACGACTTAAGCTTTATACTAGTTTTTTTATTTATTTATTTATTTAATTATCATTGTAAAAACATTCACTTTCCGCGTACACTAAACATACCCGACGTAAACGAAAGATCATACCAACGACAATGATAACTCGGGATACAATACTAGCTATTCCTTAATTTGTTATTTTTGTACATTGTCATCTCTTAAGTCTAAGACTGCGGTCACTTCCTGGGTATGATTAATTTTGCATGTGGCTTAATGGAATATCCAAATTAATATCCACTTATTATGCTATCTTCAGCTTTAAATACGACGTATCATCGAATGAGTTTTTTAAGCTATACTGTTCAAAGTCTACATATACATATTATCCATTAATAAAAAAACAACAAAAAACGTCAAGCAATCCACGTCAAGGACACTCAAGAACATAGACCAAAAAAAATGATGTTATATTTAATTACGTGGTTGTATGTCCTTATTCATTTTTCATACAATAGTTTTTTCGTCATTGCACAAGCATCCAAAATAATAAAACAACCATTCGAAAGGTAATAAGTAATATTTTGGAAGAATCATTGATATATTGTGCTTACAGGTCACAGGAGTCTTTTTAGTTAGAATAAAAAGTTAAAAAATATATCAGCTTTAGAAGTTATTTACTTTATAATTTAATACCGGATGTTTCTTTTTATTAATTAATTTCCAACCGTCGATCACCGTTCAAAAATATTTTTGTTTAATATTTTATTACTTGTAGTTGAGTTGATGTAAAAATGTAAAAATATAAAAATGTCAACGCTTAATAGTCTCAAGTTTGTTAGTTTGATTTATTAGTGTAAACTACATGGATAAATATAAAATTCAATAAGTGTCAAAATTAGTTTAATAATTATTAAAGTTCAACTATTTTTTAATTGAATTTTAATATTTTTTCAGATTACGTAATGATATATATATATATATATATATATATATATATATATCTGTATTTAAAAGAAGATAAATTCTAATTTGTTCGCCTACATTTTTTTTTTAAATTGTAAATAGAAAACAAAATTAAATTCAATAATTAAGGCCATACTAATAATATTCAAAAAACAAGCGTTTATTTATTGATAATGACAAAAAAAAAAATATACACATAAATATTTTATATGTACTATATTATACTGGATTTTGAACACAACGTTTTACAGCAATGTGTATTTTTTAGGCCATAATTTAAAAAATATTATTTTAAATGGTTATATACATTTTTAGTTTTTTTTTTTTCATATTGGTTTATTGAAACGACGTTATCGATTTTTATCAATGTCTTTTCAGTTGGGCAGGGTATAGAGTTATATTTAGTACACTGCTACCCTCTTTTCTAAGAAAAAATTCCAAGGGAATGGATTCAGTGTGGTAGAGTAGATTAGAGGTGTGTATAAGATTTTCCTATGGAAGGGGATATGAAAAAACTTTTTAATGCTTATACAAAATTATATAATTAATATTAGTCATCAAAAATTTGTGTATATTTTTAATACTGGTGCCTGGTATTCCAGCCAAAAATAATCTTTTATGATAAAATAAAATTGGGTATAGTTATTGCGACCTTTTAATTTCAATTACTCTGCAGTTAAAGGAATTTTATAATAATGAAAATGAACATAATAAATTACACTCTCATTACATGTCTTATTTGTTTATAAAATAAATTACCATTGACTAAATACAGACATATTATACTTAATTAATAGTCATTTCACTCAAGGTTCACAGAATAACAAAATTGTAAGTAACAATTAAACTGTTAAAGTGTTACACAGGATCTTAGAAAAAAGGGCAAGGGAGAGGATGTATCCCGCGTATACCTCGGATCAAAGGCGGAGGAGAAACTAGGAAGTTGTATTTTTTGATTTTTCCAATGTTCCAAGTTCGAATCGATGTCCGCGCGTGTCATGGAAAGCTGCATAAATTGCTCCACACTGCTCATATAAATTGTTAATAAATAAAATATACCACGGACTATTGTTTTTTTGCGTACATCTTAATAACCTGCGTATAGGAAAGTGGTTTATCCTGTATTGTCTGATTAAACTAATGAATATTTTATTGTGAATATTTTTTATTTTACATTTAGGATTCGCTGACTGAAAATTGTTTATATGTCTTAATAACTTAGTTTTTTTATATTAAGAAAAGAATATTATATAGGTATTATAAATAGAAATGTATTCTATAATTTAAAATTAATAATTTGAGGTGCCTTAATTCTAAAAAAAAAAAAAAAATAATTGTATTTTTATTTGTTCAATAAAGTATTATTTTAGCCAAATAATAGTAATAACAGCGCTTTATGTAGGCAATTTAAGTACACAAATATAATTATTCTTCTTTTGTTATCTGTTTCTGACAGTTTGACAGTATGGAACGGTAAGATTTATTTTTTTGAAAATAAATTGTTTAAATGGTATTAGTTTAATACTAAGATTATATACAACATATTGATAAATCAATTGAATATTAAAAAATAAGTGGGAAAGTAAGCAAATTCTTTAATGTATAAGCTGGTGTAATAGATTTGTTAAATTTGAATTTGACAAATTCATTGTATATAAAAAATGATTCTGAACGGAGATGATTTGTTAACCTATATTAATAAGTTACTAAGTAACTGTTAGAGATAAATAGTAATTATTAATTATACTATATGAATAGACAATAATTCGAAATTAATCTAAATATTTTGAAAATGTTAATGCATATAATAAAATATAATAATACAAGTACACGATTTAAGTCCTTATAAATGTTTTTGAATTTTAACAAAAATTGTATTAATTGATTAAAAATCTAAACTTGTCAAAATTTGCTCTTCAAACAAAATATATTCTCAATTTCACAATAAAATATTTAAATTTTATCAAGAACTACTAACCATTAACTTTTAAAGGTTTAACTTTATAAATAAAAAGTTTTAAATTTTTAACTATAAATGTATCTGTAGATCTTGACGATCTTGACGAATTTTAACTTAAGTTGCCTAAAATAAATGAGACTACAATTTTAATAATTTTATATTACAATAAAACAACAATATGGGGTCTTGTATATAATTTTTTTATACTTTTTATTATTACTTTAAAATAAAAAATGTTAAAAAATAATTTTAAACTAAACTAAATATTTTTAAAATTTCATACAGTATAGAAAATAACAATTTACATTTAAAGTAGACTATTTTAGAATTCTATGAATATTGAATACAAAAAAAATATAAATAAAGTTATTTGATAAAAAATAATAATTTAACGCACATAAAAAGTATTTGTAGAATCGTCCTCATTTTTTTTATAAATCCTAGTTATGAATTTTATACATTTCATGAATTTCAAACTATAAAATAATTTGTAAATGTTTGCAATTTTTGAAAATTCCATCTTCAATACTTACATTTATCGCTTCATTTATAATCTAAAACATGATGTATAGTTTTCTAACATATTGTATTCTTCGAAGTTAATTTAAAGTTGTTATAACATACATGTAAAAACTGTTTTTATTAAAAATGTTAAAAATATAAAATTTTGTTCCGCTAAAAGTTTTTATTTTATTCATAAGAATAAAAGTTTCGTAGTTATACATTCTGTAAGTTTTTAAAATTTTTTTTTTTTATTAAGTATAAAAATAGTATTTTTTTAAAAGATAAGTTTTGATTTATTTAATTTTGTTTAAATCAAGCAAATAATGATCATTTTTTTATCACTTATCACTTTGGTTTTAAGTTCTGATCTGGAAATTAAAAGACATAATTTAATAATTAGTTCTTGAGTGACTTGAGCGACCGTATATAATATAATATTATAAATATGTCCCATTTCTAAATTTGCATACCAAATATTTAATATACATAAAATATTGTACCTACTATATGTAATATGTATATATATGCTTGTAGTTTAAAAAAGGAAAATAAACGAAATCGTACTATATTAATTCAATCATATGATTCAAATAAAATTTACAACGCTATAATATATTCACAATGTATGTCACAGTATTTTAGGTTTCTTATATTATTGTTCCTTAACAATTAAAATACATTACATAATTGTATAAATAAAACACATTCGGTAAGATCATAAACTTTAATCTAATAATTTTTTTGCTATATACAAGTTCATGATTTCTCTTATATTTGGACTTAATATAAAGCTGAGATGACCCCATTGTACTTGATCAATATAACGTACTTCTTTAACATTTGGTAATAAATTTATAAGCCATTTTACATCCTGAAAAAATAAAATAATATTTTTCAATTTTTCAATTATGCATTGAATAAATTATACATGTAAATGTTAATCATAATTTATATTATTCTAAACTAAGTGAAGAATAATTTGTTTCACAATTTTTCGTTTTTTATTATTTTTGTGTTATATTTAGTTTAATCTAACTTTTTGGAAAAGTTAAAATTCTAAATTATCAACTTTAATAGAGGTTTTAGGTAAAAAAAATAACACTTATGTACATTTTATACTACCATATAAAATAATCAAAAAAATAAAGGATAAAGGAAAAACGTGAATATTTACACAAACTTAGTAATTGATGAAATCGATTTTTCATGGTAAATACTAGGATTTAAAAATGAAAAGATCGCGTTAACAGCGTATACTTTAATAAAGTTTTGTTTTTCTCTAAAAGTTTTTTTAAATTTAAAACATTATTTATTTTAATAGTCTTTGGTTATTGTAATAGATGTTCAGGATGTTTTGTATATTAATTATAAATTACCGTTGGTGTAGTTAAATAATCATTGTTTGAATGTATGATAAATGTTGGTGCTGTAACTTTGGATAAATCGTAATCTGGTGGAATTATTTTATTATAACGTTGCAAATTTTCAGAAGTCCCATAATCATAATGGCTTAGTCTCCCTGAAAAATAAAACTAATAATAAAATTGCAATTTATGTATATAAAATCTATAGAACTTGACCAAATTTCAATGAGTGTTATGAAATGTGAGTATAACGTATGTGGATGTGTACATTATTGTTGTAAAATGGTTAATTTTCTAAGTAGCAAATATGATAAGATTAGTTTTCGTTATATTCCGAAATTAAACATTTTATATTAGTTTTCTTACTCTATACCTCCCTTTCATTACTATTTGAAAATAGTGTTTCATTAATTTTGATGACACGGGTTGTGGAAATACAGAAACAATGTCTAAAACTGTATTCTAAATAAAAAACATTTTTAACACAATTATTATTTTTAAATAATCTTTTTCACCTAAGACAAAAAAAAGAAACCAAAATAAAATTAATATTAAAAATTTTTCTGCATTGCATATTTTATTGAGTATTTTCATTTGATTACGTAAGAAATAATAATAATAATACAAAAAAATATATAACATCAATTATTAAATATTACACTCAAGTGATTTATAATATTATTTAAATGTTATTGGAATAATTTAAGTTAAGAATTTTAAGTTCTAAATGATTTTTTAATATTATATACATACAATTTTACCTTACTTAAAATTTAATACAAACATTTACCTCTCGGCTTACGGTAAAAGTTAACCGTCAAGATACTCAAAAATTCATACGAGATGTTTGAAGTAAGAGTATCCTACACTGGTCGTGACATTATTTTAAGCTAGTACTAGAAGTTTTTTTGAAATTTTCAATGAACGAATATTAACCACATAATAGCAATGTAACGTTATTTTAATAGGAAAAATAATATTTTAATTGAGTTCAAATGAATGTTTTTTTTTCGAAACTCTAGCATTTTTAACATTAAAAACAGTTTGGGCATTTATTTTATGTTAGCTTGGTAACTGCAGTGTAAAACATGATTGTTAGCTATTATTTCCAACAAAACTTTAAACATTATTTATCATGTAGTATTACATACTTTGTCGATTGGTAAATCGACTCCTTCAAATAAATTGATAAAGTTCTTACAACTCTTTAATACACTTTCATTTGCACACACGTTTCTCAACTGACTATACATGGCATCTGGATCCGCGGTATATGGGATGAAATCGAATCCATTCAGTATTATCTTGAAAATCAAAATATTAAATTATTATATGAATTCGAGCAAAATAATAATAATTTAGTACTTTAATTCGTTAGGTTTTATTAATTGAATATGTTTCAAATGTTCTTATTTTAAATATATTATAATTATTAATGATAATAAACGGTATATTTTTCATTTTAATAATGAATAATTAAATTTAATGATATTTTTAAAAAACCATAGAATATAAAAGACGGACGGTCGCAGTATTTTTAAAGTGAATATTAAGGAGTGAAAAATGTGCCTGGAATACTTTCTTAAGCTCTTAGAATATATACTTCCGTGTTACAACAAAAACGTTGCAGTATAAATATTTTATACTTGATTTGATTTATTTTATAAAAAAATTACCGATACAATTTTTGGAAATTGCTTAACAATAGTAGTGACAGGAGATGTTTTAAAATGAGTCGCCGGTGCTATGAGTACAAGTTTGTTGACCTTAGCATTGTATTCTGGCTTATCGGATAAGCAAACAAATGCTATAGTTGCTCCTAAGGAGTACCCCACAACGTTCAGTTTTGAATACTCCGTTTTTTTCAGAATGAAATCTATAACTGCAGTTAAATCGTATATACCCATTTCGTGAAAACTAAAACATTAAACAAGAAAAAAAAATTTAAATAACTGGGATTTTTTTTATATTATAATATTACATATATTCGTGTAATATAGTATAAAGTAATTAAATATCTATATTCTATATAAATAAAATATTGAACAAGGAATAATGATTTGGAATAATTTATACACTTGAAAAAAGTACAATATTAAAAGAAATAAAAATATAAAACGTTTCTTTGGCTTATCAAATGCATATTTAAATTTATTAGGTAGTGAATTTTAAATTATAAGAATACATATGTATTGTCTTACTCTTAAAAACTACTACTCAATCGTTATACTCAAACGTAAGATCATATATTTTATTTAATTATTTTCTCGTAGAAATTTGAAATAAAAAATTTAAATATGCTTAAATAAATGGTTAATGTAACAAACAGTGAAATTTATGAAAATATTATAATATTTATTACTAATGTTTAGTAATTTATTTTTTTAGTTGTATGCTTATCATATAAATACTAAGAGAAATATTTTTCAGATAATTCACGTGAGTATGATCAGTAAAACTCTTAATTCTGTTGAAATAATAAATTTAAAAATTTAAATATCGTTAAAAACCAATGAAATAATAGATAATAGCATAACCTTTTAAGTTTTATAACAGGTAAATTCAGCTAGTTTAATATTTAACCAAATAATACAAAATTTGAACTACTAAACATATATCTTGAAATGTTAATAAAATGAAGATAACACATGTATAGGTACAAAGTACTCTCAAAGTTTTAAATTTTAATTTGAACACTAAATTTAAGTATTTTTGCATTGGAACTATAGAAGTTTGGTAATTTTTATCAAAAAAAATGAAAATATTTATAGTCACCAAAAAATAAAATAAAATTCTAATATCAATATTAATGCATTTTAATATGAAAAAAGTTAAATCGTTTAGATCAAGAACCTTAAAAATAATTTTAGTTACTTAGTATATAAATATTATACTTATATACCAAATAGCAAAGCAACAGTCTTAAATTTTTTGTGATAAACCCATAGTAATATTGTAAATCATAAGTAAAGTTCCATAATTTGAAAATTCAATATGATACTTAAACAATACGTAGGTATGATATATTTATAAAATAGTGATGAATTTTTATTTTGTATAACTCATGTCTAATCTTTTATATATAGGTACGTTTTTTTTCAAAAACAAATAATAAATTAAGTGGTTATTGTACATTTTATGCAAAACAAATTCCTTATAAATCGAGTATATTTCACAGTAATTTAATGTAATCGAAAGGAAAATTTAAATTATTTTTAAAGAAAAGTTACTTTAAAAGAAATTAATTTTATTACGCATAACAGTTTCTATCAAAACAAAGTGTGAAACTATTTATTTATTTATTTTAAGATCTAATAGTGGTTACTGATTAGATTTATCTAAGACTTTAATTTAAATTAAGACTGAAAATCAAAGTAAGGTACTAACATTTGAAGTTTCATAATTTGAAAACTATGATAATATTTATTTCATAAAATTAATAAAAAGACAAATAAGTAAAGAATCATAATGCTTACAGGATTAAATAATATATAAAATATATTACCCAAAATTCCATGATATTCTATTCATATTTGGTAGTGATCCAGGTCTCTTGTAAATACTTAGTGTTCTTGAAAGACCTACTCCTCTGGCATTGTATAACCAAACATCAAAACCAGCATCCGATAATACGAAACCTGAAGTTGAACAATTTACATTGTTTTAATCGTCTATAATAATTATAGGAAAATAGGATAATAAATTATTATTACTGAATTGTCGTATAAATACATTATCAAATAGACTAAGATATGTACCCGTGAAGTCCGTTAGTTCTTAATGTATTGTCATTTATTGCATAAGTAAGTTATATCAATGCATTTAATATTTGCTGAATTCAGTTTGAGACTTCCGAGTTGCATTAAATATTTGTTTGATGGGAACATATTGTACGCCATATAATATTAATATAGTGTGTAAGCACTGTAGCTATTGGGCACGGTCTGAGTGTCTACTTCTTAATTTCACAATTGCAATGATTATCCCCGCTATTGTTTTTCCGTGTACTTTATAATTGGGAGAAGGTCCGAAGTCCTAATTTGGTTGTGCCTGTTTGGTAAAATGTTTATTTAGTCACCAGTAACTTTTCATTTGGTGTTAAATTATTGATGACCCTCTATTAGAATTTCGCAACTCCCAAGTTGCGCACCGCTGCTTTAAAGCCTTACTAAAGAACCAACTACCCAATAGTAATACCCTATTCGAATCCATTAGTAACTTGGAAGGAGAATAACATGAAAAAAATCAACTTTTATCAATAAGTTATAGACATAACTATCTTAAAATGAATCTACATATTTTAAAAATACAACTTAGTTCTGTAAAATTAATAATATACAAAAATTTTCAAGTTCCCACCAATAATATAAATTAAATTATAATAAAATAATTAATGAAGTTATTAATCATTTGAATAACTTATGTGGGACTTTAAATACAATTTTTAAAAAATTTGACCTAGCAAATAATTTTGTATCGACGTTTAGTTTATAAATGTTTTTAAAAAAAAATAACTGTAGGAAAATTTCAAATGTGTATACATTTTTCAAAAAAAAGAAAAAAAGATAAAATTATATCATGTATAGGAAATTATAATTAAAATATTTGGTGATAATTTTAAGTATTTATGGAAAACAAATTATGATTTCCGTTAACAATAAATACATTAAAAAAACAAGTTACTTACTGAGTGACGAGTTGTTAACTGCAAATATATATGAATCTGAAAAAAGTCCATGCATTAATAGAACGGGTTTTCCGATAACTTTGTTGCCATTATGTGGTATTCGTTCTAAGCCCAAATGAGCTCTATCGTCAGTCCACACTTCATGCGTCTCCAATGGGTATCCGAATTCTTTAATTTTTGTTGACTTTAAAACAATAATTTAAATTATAAATTAAATTAAATTTACGTACCTACCTAATCTAATATTATGATACTAAAATGTGTATAATATTATGTTATTTTATCATAATATTATATCTTGTTGAAAATATTAATATATTTCTTTTTAATACACAATACCTAAATTTGTTTATTTTTGTCGTTGAAATGTGTTATTTATAATAATTTTAATTAATGAACATATTTCAAATCCATTGTTATATTTCCATATTAAAAATTAACATCATACACCTTCTACCGTGTATATTATTATAGATAAGTAATTGGTACCACCATTCATTTTCATCGAGAAGAAACAATACTTAACCTAACTTAATCTAACCATTTACAAATTAAATTTTACATTTTATATAATTTTTACACGGAATTGATATATTATTATTCAATGGTGTATTTTGTAAGTTTGTAACAATTTTTTCATTGTGGATTATTCAGCTTGTAGTTACGCTTCATTAACGAAGACTGTTATATAAGAGTGTTAACGCGTTTTCGATATACCTACTCTGATTTTAAGTGGGAATCTGTTAAACGAGTTTAAAAAAAACGCAATGTACATAATATATGAAGCACACTAATACACGTTGTAATACAAACTGATCGACAACATATGTAAATGGCTGATCCTCTCACAGCCAGAATAAAGAAGTTTATTACGATTCACATGGTATTAAAAAAGTTAAATTATAAAGCCATAGCGACCAAATAATTTTTAAATGAAAAATGTGAGTTTAATCCATGATGGATACGTTAGATATTCTAGTGAATATTTTATCGAAACAACATGATGTGCACTATGCGGAGACAAGAAGAAGAATATACTGCAAAAGCTAAAAAAATATCTATGTTTCCGGTTAAAAAAATCAACGAAAATATACCATGCCAACAAACCGAAAACAAGAAGTGTGTTTTCGTGGAGCTGATAATAAAAGGTTAGTTGAGTGTTCACTGAAACGGCATATGGTGTTTGTTTATCGCTAAAACAATCTGTGAAGAGATTTGTATTAAAAATGTGCTATCAGGATACAAGAGTACCAGAAATGTTAAGCCGTTGAAAAAGTCGGTTAGTGATAAGAGCAAACATTTTAATACTCATTAAATAGTTTTGATATAAAATTATTCCCAAAACGATTTTTAGTTAGCTGTTTGATCTGGATACCTCCGTAAAAATGCGCCCAAGGATATTTCGGATACTAGTAACTTTAACACGATAAAATTCGTATTTAAAGGAAACTAAAAAAGTACGTTGTTACAGGACATGTCATTTGTTATACTCCCAGTTTTTTTTTTTTTTTAATAACCTTTTTATGCTATTAAACCCATAAATAGTTGCAATGAATAATTAAATAATTATATTTGTTACGTGTTTTGTTGACGAAATCTTTGTCATGAAAAATAATAACACCAATTGAACTCAATCCAATAATGTAAGAACATTTTATTATTGTAAACGCATTACGTTAAACTATGAGTTTAAACATTAAGTTTGTTATTTAAATGTGAAACATAAGTCTTAACTTACAGCATCTAGACAAGCGGCATAATCACACGTATTAAACAATATGATAGTTGACAATGATATTAAAATTAATCGATAATTCAATAATTGCATGATCGCACTCCAATTCTTGAGATTAAAAGTTAAACAAATAAATTTAATTTAAAAATGTTTCACTCGCCAATAGTTTAGATATTAGTTCGCATAAAATCCGCATAAAAACCACATTTGAAATGTTCAACAGTGAATACTACAACTTGTTCATAATAACATATTATTTTATACGTATTCTTATTTATACCACAAATATAATATCCTTGAAGTAAAAACAGGAAACTATACTGGAAATCAATATTTATTATGTTGTCATCTCCCGAGTTGGAGATCATGGCCAGTTATTAAACTAAACACTATACACCTATATAGCAGTTTATTAATTATTATTATTATAATAACTGCGCGTTCTCACTTACGGCACAGTAGGTATAGGTGCCTATTAAGCACTTACTCAATTTTAAGGAAGTTGTAACTAGTTTTTTCTAAAAAACTTGTCTCCTTAAAAACAAAATATAACATTTCTAAAATAAAAACGAACACATTTTTTCTTTAAAGTCTTAAGTAAATGTTATGTCTAAAATTATAATCTGAGATGCAATATAATTACAGATATAATGTGTAGGTAGTATTTGAATGGTTTTTTTTTAAAGTTTTGTTGATTCATTAAATACTTTTCATGGATCTACGGTACGTAAGTATTGACTTAAATTAATACTACTGATTTATATGTGCTATACTGTAATATCTTAAGTTTTGGAATATTTGTATCTACGTACTTTATTAATTATGGTAGGAACTAAGACAAAATATAATCTCTTCTAGTGATATAAGTAAATTATAAAATATGAAAAACAAACACACCGTCTAGGCTCATATTCATATATAGTTACAAATTCAATGATTACCTAAGTATATAATCGAAACATACTGTAGATACCTCAGAGTAATTTCCATATTTAGATCAATTAAGACTTAAATAGGTACACAATTTATAGTAATCTTTTCTACCACTAAAATTTTTGAAATAGAATATTTACTATTTTAAAATATAAAATTAAATACTTATATAATCGAATTATCTCAGCAAAATGTTCAATCACACATATTGTGAATATTTCAGTACATGATAAAAAAAAAAAAAAATAAATATTTATTCGTATAATAGGTATACAAAATAATATATGCAATAGGTATAATAGTATGATGGTTTATTTTACTGAGTAGTTGGTAATAATTCAAAAGTATAGTAGCAATAGTTATTTTAAATTTTTACTAAATATTTATACTACATATTATCTTGTAAATAAAATTATTTCAAAGTATTTTGATTAATATTGAGTTAAAATACTAAATATTTTTTTTTACACATTTAATATTTTAATACTGAATTCCTTAAAAGTTGTTTAAATAACTGAAATTAAAAAAAAAAAAAATTGAATATAAATCGACAATATTTTCTGGGGGAATTTTTGAGAAAATTAAATGTTGACGAAATTTGAGAGTAAAATAAGGATTTTATATCACACAATTTCAGTTTGTTTGATTGAATTCAAAAATATTATTAGTGAGGATTTAATTCTTTTACGTATATTATTATATTTTAATATACACAGTAAAATTTTCAAAATATTTAACTCTAATTTTAAGCTATATTGCGCTCATTTATATCATATACTCGTATTTATTGACATCGTTAATTATTGGTAAATGGGTATTAACTCAAAAGTTAATAACAATAATATAGATATGATATCAATACATACATAATAATATAATCAAAGCAATATTTTCGATACAAATTAAACCGATCTACCATATTACTAATAGTGTAATAAATATCGAAAATAGCGATAAGAGTAAACATATAATAAGATGTACTTGCTTAGTAATATAAGCTTATAGTTATTTAGACCTCAAAATCGTTTTTCAAAACCAATAATCTATCGTTGAATTAAGATTTAAATTTAACACATCTATTATAGTGATCTATTCAATATCGAGGTACAGTCTATACTTACTGAACAGCAGTAAAGTTATATAGGTACTTGCTTATAGTTTGTTAAATATAAGAGTGCATTTAATTAACCTAGAGGTAGTAAAGTATATATAGATATATGTACCATATTGATCATACACTCATTGAAAAAAAAAAAAAAAACAATAAATTGTGTAAGACAAAAAGATACCGTGAAAAGATGTGTTATACCTGCCTGTTTTTTTATTTATTTATCACAGAAGGAAGAGGAAAAAAGGTAAACAGTATAAACACAACGATAAATAAATAATAACGATACACGTTTATATTAGGTTTTCATATACAAATACTTAATTTTTTTTATAACGTTTTTCGTTTTCATAAAAGCATTTGATAATCAAACACATTCTCAAACAGATCGAACAGTATCGAAACATGGTAAACACATAGTATAACAACGTGGGTACCTTTGCCCAAATTATAAATGATAATATATACAAATAGATATACTATCAAGATTTTCAAGAAAAATTCAATACGTACCGATTGGTACAAGTTCTGAGCGATACGAGCCGGTAGGTATGTTCAACCAGTGCTCATATCACATACTATATAATTTCTTGAACGCTCAATTTTATATCAATACATATCGATTCACTTAAATGTCTTCCTTGAAAATCTTGTATATGTACACATTATATATTTTCGTGCATTTTAATAGCGCTGTTCAATCAGTAATACAAAAGGCGACAGTCCGTCTAATTTTTGTACTATTCGAATACACATTTAATGTAAAAATATGTTATAACATAAAAGTAATATGCATTGATTTTTTTAAAAACGTTTTTGTTTATTTATTTTTTTTATTATTATTAAATTAATATTTAACTAAAATACATCGAAATTAATCAATTAACGCCCACGCCGTCCAAATAACAATACATTTTAATCGAGAAGTATTACACGACATAGATGGTGGTGATTATTTGGACATTGGTGATAAGCATTCCATTCATATTTAAACATAGAAAAAAAACATTTAACGATATTTCGAGAACAGAATAAAAACAATAAATTAAAATAATAAATGAAAAAAAAAATATACACGCTTTAAAATTGAAATTTACATAGGTACTAAAAAATGTAGTATATTTATACATATATATGACAGATTTCGATTCTTAATAAGATTCTGGTCTAATAAGGAGTATTGAGTAGACGACAGTTTTATTATTATACAAAACTGCCACATTAAAAACGATTAACAGCGTCATGTTCGTAGTAGTAATAATAATAATAATAATAATAATAATAATAATAATTAATAGTAGTAATAATAATAATAATAATAATAATAATAATCACAAAAAAAAAATTATGAACAATAATAATTAACTTTGCGAATATCACAACTGTTAAAACTAACGTCTACACGTAAACAAACAAAATTCAGATCAAGAAATTAATAATAATCAAAACAAACCTTAAGTCTAACCTGTCCCGGGGTCAATCGCTTTCTGCCTTGTTATCCGATGATTATTTATCCATTGGCTACCACTACCTATAGTTTATAGGAACATGCTAAAAGTGCGTAAGAATCAAATTTTTTTTTATACTCGTCAAAGGACAAGACTAAAATATAATATTGTCTGGAACGTTCGACGACGTCCCCTCGAAAAATGTGCACGAGGACAATATTTAGACACGTTCGCATTTTCTGTAGGCGATTGTGGAATAACCGCGCCTAAGCACCAGCGGCCAGTACTCTAGACCATATACAGTGTACACGAATAGTAGTATAACACTATGTATATATATATATACAACTCATGGTGATTATTTTTATGGTAATTATGTGAACGGTTTATATATATATATATATATATATATATATATCAAATTAATATGTACACACTAATGTCTTGTTCTTGTTTTATCTAACACATTAATTAATATTATTTATTTTATATTTTTAACGTGGTTCCGAATGTGTTACGATAGATAAGCTATTGTGTTTATGGTTTAATTTCGAATTGTTTGAGAGAATGAAAAAACGAAGAAGTTGACTAGATGAAGCTTAAGAAATAATGTGTGCAAAAATAATATCAATGAACATCGAGAACGTTAAAATTTAACGCTACACAATATATCCGCAATTTGTTTTTGTGTGTTTGACGGCGAATGAATAACAAATATGAGTCATCGATCACACAGATTAACATATACATACATACATATATATATATTAAAAAAAAAAACTTTTGGTCTTTGGAAATCTTTAATTGGTTTTTTTTTTATCGCTGAGAAGAAAACACTTTTCTCCTTGAGATCATAAAGTCTGCATGCCAACTAATGGTGATAGGTAGAGGATTCGTGGTGTGTATGTTGGAGTGGATAGGGGGTTGGGTCGGGGTAGGGAATTGTAGGGGGAGGAGTTTAGGGGCGGTTGTAAAAGGTGGGGGATAAGGAGGAAAGCGTAGGAGGTTAGATAAAAATATCACATTGCACTATCTTTAACGTTGTTTAAAATCACTTTTTGGTAGCTATGCCCCGTTGAGTAAGACCCTCGAACCGCTTAAACGTGTAGTTGATAAACACCCAGTCTTTATAGATCACTTCACCATCTTGGGATATCGGTGCCGATGCTAAAAGAAAACACAGAAAAGTAATTGATTAGTAAAACGATACAGGACCAGTAACGCAGTAAGTGCGACACATCGATCGGCTTTGTCATATACTCACGTATTTCGAGTTTGACGTCTGGGAAGTCATCGAAGTTGGACGTATCATCGATAGACTTGACCTGGACAGGTATAGCGGCTGGACGTTCTCTGATGTGCTCCCAGTCGACACCACGGAAGAACGCTATCGTTGATCGGAGGTCGTCGATACCACGACCACTGTAACCAAGACGACGGTCTGATTCGCAACAGAACCGGGTGATGGCGTCGCGGGCCTCTTCGCTAATGGGCACTTCGGCTGGGAAGCTCAGCGTTTCCCGCCAGTTCATAACCTTCCTGTACGTTTCCTGTGGATTTTCGCTGCAGAACGGTGGGTACCCTGTAAACGAACGAAATAAAATTAGCAACGTTATGAAGAATGGATTCAACTATTAAAACCATATACAGTACGTATAATTATTACTATAACAATCACTGTTTATGTATTTGTGTCTTCGTAAAAAATATTATGTTTAATTTCAATACTTCACAATATATTCATTGCTTAGAATTAACTTTTCTAGTTCATATATATATATATATTATTCAATACCTCTATCCAAACTTTATAACAATGTCTAGTTCTTAAAAGGTGAAATAATTTTTTGAAAACAAATTAAGTAACAATTAAAAGTGACAAGTGAATAATCGTTTATAAAGGTATTTGATATTTTACACTCAAACAAATATCTTAAACAAACGTGAACCGTGATTACAATTAAGGAACTCTGCAATGCGTATTATTAATAATTATAATCAGTAGCGCGAGTTTTGTTTCATTATGCATGTTGATGGACATACGTACACTCGTTTGATACACACATGGATATACATAAATATCGTGTGTACAGGAGAGAAGGGTTAGCTTAATGAAAAGAATCTTAAGTCACGATTTTGTTCGAAAAAGACATAATTAATCAAAATATAAGATATTTTGCTGCTATTTCAATAATATTTAGTAACACTTTTATGGTACACTTTATTATTTCGTAAGTAATAAAATATTATTAAAACTAATTGAATAAAAAATATTATTTATGATTTGTATCAAATTTGAGTAAAAAAGAAAACTAATGATCATAACAAACAAGATTCAATAAAACTTAAAAAACGTGACAATTTTGGAATTAATTAAATACCTAGTAGGTATGAACATTGCAAAACGATATTTACACAAAAATCTGAAATTGACAATATCGTAAGATTTTATGAAGCAACTACTATGATGACAGCTTATTAAATTGAAAAAAAAGAAGAAATTATATTCAAATAAAACCGATAGTGTTAAGGGTGTAAGCAAAAACAAAAAGATGGACGTTTTCGTGATAAATAAATAGAAAACTATATAAAAAACACGTATCGTAGTAAAATAGTGTATACACAAATTATACGTCTATACAACATTAAGTTAAATAAACACTAAACCCGAATGAAAACTATATAAACACGAATTCCTTACCGATTAGCATTTCGTACATGATGACACCGACGCTCCACCAATCACAAGCCGGACCGTAACCGGTCTGGAGGAATACTTCGGGTGCAATGTAATCCGGTGTTCCAACGGTGCTGTAGGCCAGCGCCCGGCGATTTCTTTTCCAGCTCTCCGCACGCCGTTTGCTGTCCATCGGACTCGATGCTGGCGAACAGAAAAAACCTAAATATAAGTTTGGCATGCGGTTAACTTTTTGACAGTAAACACTCACTGAAATCCGATGGTTTAGCCTGGCTCAGGTCTCTGTAGAAATCCGTCCGGTGCGACTTTTTTAGGCCAGTGCACAATCCAAAATCAGACAGTTTTATGTGGCCCCTGGCGTCTAGTAATAGATTGTCGGGTTTTATATCCCTGTGTGGGTTAAGAAAAACATATTAGCACACACACAAACGCCGAACAACCTATGTATAAAATACATAGGAAACGAGTACCACGTAATCTTGTAAAGTATTCAATAACGAGTATACTTAAAGATTAAAATTTTAAATCTTAAAACATTTATTTAAGGTGTACATTTACAATGCTTTAAGTATACGTGTTAAAAAATACAAATGTATAAAAATAAAAAATCAAAGACACGAAACATACTCGTATGTATTTGATGAGAACTTTTTTTTTTAAGATTATTACTTAGTTTTAATACAATTTATTAGTAAAAATACTAAACTGAATATGCATTTTTACATAATATTCTATCTAACCTGTGTATAAATCCGAGTTTGTGTATAGAATCAATAGCCAACGCGGTTTCGGCGATATAAAACTGCGTACACTCCTCACTGAGTGTATCTTTTTTCATGAGTAGCGTCATCATGTCACCACCAGGAAGGAACTCCATTATAAGGTAAAGGTTTATTGGATCCTGGTAAAAGTCAAAGGGTAAAGTTTTATTATTAATAATTTTTAAAAAGGTCCTTTTATACATGTTTTTTTTTTTTTTTTTATATATACACTACGGTCAATATACACGTGGTTACCACACCAAAGCGGTCTGGGGGTATACAATTAATTATTCATTTGCAAACATCGGACGCGAGGAAATAGTTACCTGAAAACTATAGTACATTTTAACGACCCACTGGTGATCAGCTTCAACGAGGACATCCCTTTCTGCACGAACGTGCGCCACTTGTTCCTTTTCAAGCATGTCGGCTTTGCGTAGGATTTTCATGGCGTATATATGACCAGTGTCTTTCTTTTGAACTAGTCTCACCTAGAAACGAAAGTAATATAATAGTTTTCAATTATAATATATATAAATATATATATATATATATATAAAAAACCACCTATATTTTAACATATACATATTATAAATACGGTTTTATTACTATATTATCATATACGAGTAATGTTCCTCAGTAGATAGAAAAAAATTACACTCATTTCGTTCCTTCATTTAGGGTGTAAGTACTATAGATTGTTGCAATCGTAAGGAATCTTTCATAAAGATATTTCAAATCGTTGAAAAATTAAATACACATTTTCAAATTAGTTTTGCTATTAGATACATATAGGTCTTCCAAATGGAAGAATATACAATAGCATTCGAATATATTTTCCACTCCTGGTTGTGGGAAATTTCCATTTATTCCAACAAATAGGACGTAAAAGATAAATAACTGCAGATATTGAAGACGAAATATTTGTAAACTTATTTTATTATAAATTTATTTTACAGCCACATATGAATCAAATTGAATAATATTTATGTATACTTGGATATACCGATTCAAATTACTTCGAATATACGTTGCATTAAAATAAACAAAAATATACTATTTTCAATAGATTGTTCGCAATTGTCTCGATTCTGCAAGTATGAATAAGCCATATAAAGCAAATAGTAAACATTAACCATTGTGTTATTGTACAAAAAAAAAAAAAAAAAATAACATGAAATACGTAATGACATGTCCAAGGAAATCTTTGTTGCCGATTGCTAAATTTATATTATGTCAGTTATTTCAATTTATTACAATATAGAAAACAAAAACGTCTTTCCCGTGTTTTAACTACTGATATATTCTATACCTACTTTAACAAACGAAAAATTAAACAAAGGATAGCACGTGTAACCTTTCAATAACATAAATAATGTACAAGCAATTTTTAAGTAAAATATTATGAAAACTTTTTAGACGCAAGAAAAACAAAAATAATTTATTGTATTGTTTTTATACATATATTTAGTATCAAGGTAGTATTGTAAAAACATTAGGAATCACAGTAAAAATTACGTTATGTGTAGATATAAATTATTAAAGGATTTACGTATACAATTCCATAGTTTTTTTTTAGATGTAATAATAGAATTTATCCATAATTATAAGATGACTTCAAGTAAAACACGAGAAGTTAAATTTTTATTTTTGTTCGTATTATAGTTATGTTTTAGAGCAAAAAAAAAAAAAAAAATGATATGAATAAATGTTAAGTTTGTTAATTGTTATTGTTTAATGTACATATTGTATACAAATTTCATTATTTCTTTTACAAATATTATACAATTTTTTTAATTATTAATTAATAATAAACCAGGTTTTCATTAGACCATACATATTTTTTTTTTAATGTTAAAAATAATAATTCATCTATTTAGTTATGTTAATTAAGTGACATTTCATAAAAAAACCAACCTTTTAGAAACTTCTCTTTTTAGTTTAAAAAATATGTTACATAATGGGTTTTTATTATTTCCTATTAAACTAAATCGTGTTTAAATAAGAAATTAATTTAAAGACAGGAATATAAAAAATATCTAAAACGTGTTTACAAACATAATATCCTTTTAATTGATTCATTGGGAAAACGTTTATCGACCTTAAAGTATATCGGATCATAAATATTACTTTTAATGATTATTATGTTTAATATTATTGTAAGTTAATATATCTAATAAATTAAACTAATGAATAATCTTAATGAAATTGCTTTTTCAATTTTAGTGCACTTGATGATTTGTATAGAAAAGTATAATAAAATTAAATTAAAACAATCGACTTAGCCAAAATGGTTATTCAGTTCCTATATTTCTAAAAAAAATAAATAAATATGACAAACTAGAAAAAAAAAACTAGAAATAAGAAGTACAATAGGTATATTTTATATGTAATAACACCAATAATTTTCTATATAATATTCTATATATATACACATATTGATTAATACCAACGAAATACTTGAAAACCGTATAAAATATAATAAATTTAAAATGGTCATATTAAATACTTAATTTTTAATAATAGTAATACCATAACATAGTATAATATACTAGTTATAGAAAAACTCAATATCATCCATCAAAATATATAAAATTATTATTATTATTATTTAAACATGTGTAAAACGATATAAAAATACAGCGTATAATTGATTTTATAAAACCTATCACAAATTTATTAAATTGTATACATATTTATGATGATTCAGTACAAAAATAATGAAATACCTATCTATATTAGTTAAATACCTATATATTATTCAAGAGAGTGGAAAAATTGCATGAATAGAAGATAAAAAATAAATATAATAAATAGAAAATTTAGTTGAAATAATAGTATTATAAGTAAAACATAATATGAATTTAGGTTGAAATCGAATGGAACTAATTTATTGATTCAAATAGAACATGATGGCTCGCTGTACCGTGACTGATGTACTATAAATAACATCGTTAACTACATAACTTCCGAATAATAAGAAAAGAGAAAAAAATAAAGTTGAAAAACAGTAATAAAATAAATAAATAAATGATGACTTACCTCTCCAAAAGCACCACGACCAATGACCTTTAACGGTTCGAAATCTTCTACCCCGAGCCTTGATCTTTTTAGTCTGAGAAATTCTGATTCTTTTTGCGCATGTTGCTGGCGTTTTTCTTGTTTCTGTTGCTCCGACAGACTTTCATCTTTCAAAGTTTCTTCGAGTTTTGCTAACCTTAAAATACAATTTAAAGAAATTCAAAATCATGTATATTTATACAGACTGTTAACCACGGTCATATAAAAATGTCATCGTTATCATTGCATGTTCCTTACATACCTATATTTTTATATTACTTATAAAAGCGTATTTTATGCACAGAGTTCGAATATAATACAATGTTGACTGAGAAATGATAACAGCTCTATACAGTTCTACTTTCAATGACGAAAATTGTTACATTACATTGTATTTGAATGTTTTTAATTTTTTTTTTTTTTTAGACAATATTCGTATAGAGGATTATTTTTTCATCCATAGGCTATGTAGTACTTACAATATACAAGCTATCAATAAAGATATATTTTTTATCGAAGTGGAATAAGGTAGAGTTTCCTATTGAATGAAATGTTTGCACGTTGACAAGTTTTCTTTTTTTTTATATATATAATATATATACAAGAATAGCATTATAAAATGTTATATTATATTGGAAATAAGAATGAAAAATTAAACTGAAAATCTCAAAATAGCGCATGTAATATAAATGGCACAAAAACAGTCTGCAGGAGCAATGTTAAACGGGCCGTTACATTAAACTGCAAGGTTTACCACTTATGAATAATCAGGTCATTCTATAAAATCACTTAAAATATATAGGTAAATATATTTTTATTCGAATGTAAAACGGCAAAATTTGGCAAAAAATTTATCAGCTAAGCATGATACGAAATCAAAATAAAAACAAAACAAAACATAAATATACTGAAGTAGTGACGTTTATCGATATTTTTTGGTTTATTTTTTTTTTCTTCAGTTGCTAAGATGATTAAATATAAATTAAACTAAGTTTACAATAAAATTTACAATTATTTTGTCTAATATTTGTATTTTTATACTGATCATACTCTTAAAACGCATTTAAAATGATTTATAACCTTAAAACTTTAATAATTCATAATATGATTAATGTTATACAAGTTTCTGATACGAACTCGATAAATTTAATTTTGTCGATTATTTAATTTTTAAAAGCAACGACTATACAGATTATTATCGATAATTTTATAAATTATAAAACAGAACAAAAACAGATATCAGGATTATATAAAGATTGAATTAAAATTAATTGTACGGGAATGGTGAAGATTTCAAAATAATCATATTATATACTGTATAGAGGTTTTCGTCAATTTTATAATACGAAATTTAGATCATTATATGTAAAAAATAGTGTTATCTTTCAATAAAACATAATAAGTTTTAAACTATATTTATTTATAAAAAAAATGTTAATGTATCAATAATCAAAAAATACAATTAATCTGTCTCCAACATCGAGCCAAATAATTACAACAGCACGAGTATACTAAAAAATGTATATATACATTTACCAAATTAACGACCGTGTTGAGTTACATTTTTTTTTTAATCAACATTTACAATCTAAAAACCTTATGTTTATATTTATATTTGTAAATTTGAAATTCTGTATCGTAGAACATTTTACGTGTGCTGCATAGTGAACATTCATGGTATTTTTTAGCCAAGAAATAAACTAGTCTTTCAGTAAGAAAATTAATGGATCTTCGTTTATTATGTTAAAACTAATATATATCATAAGAATCTAAATATGTTTATATACAAATGTATATCTTGATATGAAATTAATTGAATAAGCGCCAAAATGTAAGTTATTTATTATATAAGAGTATATTTCTGTACACACGCGAAACGAATTGTTTTCTAAAAACTAAACGTTATTGATACATCATCGAATTGGTACTTTTTAAATATAAATATTTTGAAGTGTTAAAGACATTTAGATTGGATGTATGAGTTGTGAGATCTTAAGAAAATTTAACGTTTAATGGCAATAAAAACAATCTGAAATTTCAATTAATATAAAAAAAGAAAATTAAAACTATTTATAACAATAAATGTACATTGATCATAATTAACAAGTTTAATTAACATGAAAGCAAACTACGCGGATATAATTGGATATCAAATTTACAGAAATTCGCATTGTTATAGAACTAGAAATTAATTATAAATCACATATTATATAAGTATTACACACGATAAAATATTAGACATTAAACATATTAATAACATTTGAATAAACTTATCAACGTCAATTTTAAGCAATATCATGTCATAAATTAATAATAAGTTAAACGATGATGATAAATATAATTCAAATGTTTGAATATTTTCTTCTGGTGGTTTTTTTTTTTTTTTTTGCTAAAAATAGCAATACAATAGACTCACAATAGTCGGAAAACCGTGAAACAACAGAATAAGTAGAACTGTATCGACCGAAAAATAATATGATAAGACTAACATAAATCAATAATAAAGTGTAAAACAAAATAAAAGAAATTGATTGACCTTCGAAAAAAATTAATATTATTGAGTCTTTCGTACATAATATAAAGATATAGTACAGTACTTACTTCCTTAGTTACGACCCTATTATTTTTACTACCTTTATACAGAAAACGATTTTAATGAATTATCTAGGGATAAATTGATAAAAATCAACTCACTAAGTGTGATTGATTCCAAAGCTCTAAAAACGAAGGTCGGTGTTGTGGAAAAGCGGCTTCGAAAAAAATGGAAGACTATTCAGAACATATGCCAGCAAAATAAGACCCTTTTGATAACAACTAATACATTAAAGTAAAAATCAACTAGTCTCTCAAAGGGATTTCGACTGAAACTTGAATGAAGTCACGTAGAAGTGAATAACATAGTATGTAAATTAAAAATAGACGAATATAGATAGCATTATGTAAAAAAAATATTGAGTACTATGGCTAAATTAATATGATATATTAGATACAGACCAATTTAATTGAAAAATAAATTTATTGTCTTGTGCAACATGAACACAGACAAAAATAAAAGGATTGTATCAGTGCATTGAGTTTTTACCATAGCATTCTACCCACACAATAAAAATTAATGTCAAATTTTGACATTTTTTATTCTTTTATTATTTGTGGACTACAACGAGTATTATTGAGGAAAGGCATTTGCAAGAAGCCGTTTGACGTTTGACCGATCGAAAATCAAAATGAAAAAAAAAAACGATATTTCATACCAAGAAAATACTGCAGGTGACACGCAATATACAATTAGTTAAAAGAAGTCTAATCGATTTTAGCTGACAAAAATGTACGTGCGTTCGTGATTGAAAATTAACGTCACCGCAGAAATGGTTAGGGTATAATAGCCATCATTACCATTTTGGTTCCACGAATTTCTCATCGCCCTTTCAAGTATATCATCTTATGAAGCATAAATTACACCTCACATACTACTGCATTGGAATTTCCAATACACTATATATTTTAAATACATTACATATATTGTGCACAAATTGTTATTTGTTTTCAGTGGTATTAAGAGTTTTTTTTTTAAATAAAAACGCTGTATAAATTTAATATATCAGTACAACTGCAAGTCTGTCACTGACAATGACTACGGTATTGCAGTGGCGTAGTAATTTAAAGAAAAATCAGAGTATAACGAAAATAAAATCTCAATTATCACTATTGATTTTGTTTGCGATTGTAACAAACAATAAATATAAAATGTACCTATAGTTTGTCGTTCCAAATATTATTTAATTGCATATGGCAACTTTTTAGTAAGAAATATAAATGCGTAAACCATAATCTATATATGACATACCCAGATAAACGACGAGATGTCTCTAGGGACAAACAATTTATCATTTTTTTTTTTTTTTGACACTTATGTCGCTTACTGCAAAGAAAGCTTTACACGAGTTTCTCAGCTTTTGCCAAAACTATATATTATAATTATATGTATAAAATAATCAAGAGTCAAATACCATTGTCGGCACATATTCGCACGTTGAGTGTAAAAAATTAATAAACAGCATAAGCAACAACATCCTAAAATGAAATGAGAAGTAAAAATCAATGTTTTCGTATGCATACGTATATGAGTGTGTACCTATACATTTTTAGGCGTTTAAACTGATACAAAAATTACACGGTATACACAGACAGGTACTACAAAAATTATTATTTATGCGCCAAAACAAAACAAAAATTAGCTATAGAGAAGTTTCTTCTCCGACCAATTATACAAAGGCAACAGGTGGCTCTCTTATGACTGTTTTTCAAACAATCGTTTTTAAGCGATTAAATTGATTAAATCAATTGTTTGGGCATATTGTACACTCGTTGTACAGTTCATACGAATACTATAATAATACTGCGCAGCAAATTACACATGCATACGTTATACACATAAAAAAACGTGTTAATGTTTGCCGTGAATTCCTATAGCAATACTATACGAACAATATGTGCATAATTTTGCGAAGCCTCAGCCAGAAGTCATGGGCGTATACTTTATAGTAACTTACTCTGAATTTTTTTTATTTGCATACCAAATTTTCAAAAGCAAAATAATTGTAATTTATATTTCTATACCTGCTGTCTTAAAGAAACTTACTTAAAATTATCGCAATTTGTAATGAAAAAAAAAACTGTTAATCTAGAACTTATTGCATTCATATAAACTCAATTTTTTATAACATTAATTTAATGTTTTCATATTATATATTATGCTCCGTCTAATAGCACATATTATGACACTATGAGGGGTGATTGTTTGGGAGCTATGGAAGCTCAATATTATTTTAATGATACCTTCTTCCACGATGATTCATAAAAAAGGCGTTATATTTTCATATTGTTTTTACTGTAACCGGTACCCACATTATATTTATTGTCATGATTTTTTTTTGCTTTTTAAAACTTTATAGTGTATACTAATAATTAATTATCTATAGGAGTAAATTTAGTTTTCAACCTTTCGTCCTAAAAAATCCATATTTTATTCACAAATTAATCACACCTGGCTAAAACAAAAAAATAAATAAATAAATAAATAAACATATTTAAGCGTGCAGAAAAATAATTTAATTCATTGCGTTAATTTTTTTATGATATTGCACTATGTGCGTTTAA